CCGAGTTTCATTGAAAACACCTTCGCTTTCCCACCACGATTGGTAGTAACTCAACAGCGACCCATCTCAAGTGGATACCGGGCTCTTCAAAGCCGAGACTCGATGCATTTGGGCTGCGCGTGGGCGTTGCTGGCTTCTGCCGAAGCAGTGATGCGCACGGTGAGCTATGGGCATTCTCTCAACCCAATCGCCATTGAGTCCCACTCGTTCTTTGTGCGACTATGCAGTCCTCTCTCGATGAATCACACCAAGACTCCCGGGTCTCAGTGAACCCCAGCAAAAATACAGCGACGGTTATCGATACGGATCCCCATTGCGTTACAGACGGTAGAAGGAAAAGAACTGCCGCAACCAAAAAAACTCATTCGACTAACCATCTTTCCGCTAATGCGATATGTCTATGCAAATGGGATGCAAAGTGCAGAACAAAACCTGTACAATATTCTGGATGTGGAATTAGGAAGGGGTGGCATCGAAAACTGGCCTGGCCCAGTTGTCTTGTAAGCTCTTTCCTCCCCGCAAGAGGTTGCCCTTAACGAGCCATCATGCCTGCCGATTTTTCCAGATCAATGCCTTCATGGCTTTCTGCCAATGCACACATATCTATTTAGTCAGCCTTTGTGTCTCGGTTTCAGATTGGAACGATTCCTACAGTGGGAAATATGCCTTCAGTGCGGGGTCTGCCGCCTCTTGCTGTGCTTGGTCCACCAAAGAATTGAAATTGTCCGGGGACATATGCAAGCGTTGGGTCAATGGATATAGTGCGAGTGATCGGAGGAGTTGCTGCATGTTTTCACGACTGCATCGGCCGATATCTCGCATCCGTTGGTCTGCATTGAATCAATCAGTCTCATCCGTTTTGTTGAGCAGCCAAAGACCGACCTGTCGACCACGCAGACAGAGGAAGAGGAATCATCTTCGTATCCACCTCAACAAACCCCGCCTCGGCCATGAGAGTTCTCAGCTTCGATCCGATCCGGAGATCTTTCCTGTCCTCCAAAGCACGCAGGTATTGTGTGCTCCACCTCCTCAGGGCATGCTCATCAGTGAGTGAGCCATTGTCAGATTGCGCATTGAAGTATATTTCCACCATTTGGACCCAACCTCCTGGCTTCAGTGCCCTTGACGACCACTATGTTAGTCATGGAATTCAGGTTGAATACTCCTGCTTCTTGGAGTGACGGCAAGGTCAACTTGCTGTGGTGGATTCGCACCTGACTATGTCGCGAAGATAGGATGGCCATCGGGATCGGTTAATGCCGGTCGCAAGGAGCCTAGAGTGGACAAGATCGAAATGGTTTTCAGGAAAGGTGAAACGGCGGTTCAAGTCATCGACCTATTCAGCACGCGTTAGCGACTGTTTTCAGGAGGTTACACACCTTAATAGAAGTGTTGTTCAAATTGGCGGATCAAAGAAAGGTTCCAAAGCACAAGGCATGGGTCAAAGGCAGCGTTACGGCCTTCTCATGCTCTAAACCACACCATCCCCCGTATTAATATGAGACGGGTTGACTTACCTGGAGCCATAGGTTGTCAGGCATATCATCTGGACTCATGTGAGGGGCAATGTCTACGCCGATGACCTATGAACCACCGAACGTTAGGATGTTGTCGGGCGCAATCAAGGGGACTTCTTACTTCGCAATGAGGATACTGCTCAGCAACATCGACGGCCCAAGATGCGGCTCCATGCCCACAGTCGAGAACTCTTTCCAGTCGACGGATCGGTGGAAAGATCAGACGATTATCGAAAATTCTTTGGAAAACTTGTTGCAGGTCTTCGAGTCGTTGCGCTTCTTCCTGGTCCAGCTGTCAGTGAGAGGACAACGATGAAATCCTGGAAATCTTACCTCATCGACCGGTCCAAAGTACGTACGATGGTCGATCGAATATTTCTGAAACTCACGGCCCTGAACTGTGACCGTATCGAGATACTCACGGTCTAATTCTATCGTTTGTGAATCTGGACTCCTGGCGGCCATCAACGTCAGTTGCCCTTGGCCCGAAAGAACACCGGGGAGAACCAACATACGCCATTGTCATCCTGAATCAAGTGGTGTTGTGGACGAAGGGGAAAATCTGAGCTGGTATACCCTGATTTGTCTGGGCTGGGCGGGGTTGAATTCTCCGAGACCAAGATCTTGCTTCAGATCACAATATCCGAAAAGGAGTGGAATTTCATGTGCTAAGAGTTTCGTGGGAGCGATCGGGTGCCGCCTGAAGACGTCAGCGGCACCCTCGGAGAAGATGGCCGCTCGCGTGAGGATCAGTTGCCCTTGGGCGTCTGTTGGCGAAGGCTGTATGGAGGGGCTTTCAATTATACAAAGGACGTACTAAAATGTACGAACGGGGAAGGCCAAACGGTCCACCCAATGGAATGCCTCGTTCCAAGACCACACTGGATACAGGAATCGATTGTTGAAGACACGGGTGTTTAACGGTTGAAGATTTGGCACGGATGGGGCCTGGGTGGGTGGTAACCAAATGCGATCAATGCGGACTCTGCCAACTCCCGGATCGTTCATGTGTTTCCTTGGGGTCAACTCCGAAACCCTCCCTCACATCCTTGCTAGCGGGACTACCCAAGATGGCCTGAGACACTCCTCCAGGAGGCTCTTGTTTCTACTCTGGAACACTGTTACCTCAACCAGGGCTTGAAGAAAGCAAAAATGCGGGTCAGTTGAGTAGCCGAAGAGTGGTTCACGAATAATTCCGGACGATTGACACCAGAATGGGTAAGTATCAAAATAGATACTCATTTCCGCTGCTTAAAGCCAAGCTAACAAACCTTGAAATTCGGCGGTGCAGTTCAACCAATGCACGGTTCGCCGTCTCGCATAGTACCTACTTCCTTCGAGGGTCCAAGGGCGCCCGACGGTGTGGATCGAGTACGAATCCGGCCACGCTGACCCTGACTGGGATCTTCCCCCGTCAAAGAATCGCTTCAAGGCTAAACATGGTAATTTCCCGACTGTGATCGGTTAAAGTCTACAGAAAATTGAATCGCAACCTCCGGCTGTTCTTCATGATCCCCCGAGTGTCTAGGGGGTTACCAGCGAACAATGATGTAACAAGGTCTCGGTGAAGAATGAAAGAAAACCCCATCAAGTGAGCTATGCAGCATTTTGCCATGAGGTTGAAACGATGACAAGGCACCCGCTGTGTGACGTGGAAACCCCATACAAAAAAAAAAGAAGAAGAATTGAAAAATTGGTCATGATGGAGAAGGGGAAAAAGGCCGGGTTGGCATTTACTCCAACCCTTGCGTATGTATGTTGTACGGGCCAAATGAGCCCTGCATGACCGATTCCAAAGGCATGGAAAGGGATCACCCGGTTCCCGCTGTCACTTGAAACAATGAAAAACCAAAAAGCAACCCACCGAACAGCTCTCGGTACCAGTTTCCAATCCCCTCGCCCAGCGTAAAGTCGGTCTCGTCCAATGCGCATGCAGTACTATGCCAAGTGGCTTCCGGTCTCACCACAATGTCTCCAGCAGCCCCTCAACTTGAGTGGGGTTGTACGGACAGGATCAGCAACATCCTCGTTGGGGCATCCATTCCCTCGGGATTTTGTGGGTTTTCATTTTGGGTTTTATTTCCCCCTCTGACTTCGCTCACTCACCGCTTGTCTGGAGAGTTTTCCGTTTCAAGCCTCCGAGTGGACATGGAGACTTCACACGGGGGTTTCTAATCCTCCGGCTTCCAAAGTGATACAGAAGGAACCCCTCTTTTCTAGATCCCTTGTTTGCCTTACGGAGGTTTGCCTTGCATAGGGCGGGCAGCGGGAAAGGTATCCCGCGTGAATGTGGATATCACCTTTGGGAGAAGGTACATAGTACGAAGTATGCGATATTACAAGATGTTAATGCCAGTATCCACTCCGGTCTTAGAATCCACCGAAAAAACGCCTTTGAAATTATTCCCAACTCAGCTGATACCTGCATCTGTTTCTCAATTCTCCGAGGAGATAGTCCCACTCTATATTTTAAATGCAAGCAAATGCAAGCAAATGCAAAGGATCTGGTATTTATACCAATACTCATACTCGAACAGTTAATTTACAAGGCAAGTTTCCCCCGATATGAAGCAAAAGAAAATATATGATCCATACTGTCGGGATTTCGACAGGGCTTACCCGTCCCCAAAACCCAGCGCCATGGTTCGTATCGCGGGTAAGGGGACCACCCAACCTTTTTTTCATTAGGGGACTTTTTAGATCTCTTTATATTTTATATTGGACGGCATTCTCCGTATACGTTTATTACTTTTCAGCTTCTCCATATACACACCGACTTATTGCAATGATACGTACGAAAAAAAAAGTATCCTTGTGACCTATTTACCGAATACGGACCACTCCCGTGGTCCCGCTATACGCGCACTATATACTTACGTAGGCACTGTTTAGGATATTTGCTCAACATCCTAACGATCGGCAAAATTCGTCGGTGAAGAAACATGAAACCCACTATCAAAGTATATATTAGCCCATGACAAATATGTATCTACCAGGATATCCATGGACACCGTACTATTCCTTCACAGTCTTCTCAGCATTTGCTCGAATGGTTAGTTTTGAGCATATTGAATATAGAAGCAAAGAAACCCTCTTTATATGTTTGCAAAAGTGGAGAGGTCAATATCAGATTTAGCCTTTTTGCAGCATAGTTATATATTGAGAAATCACAAGAGGGCCATCAGGAGTTAAGTTAGGATAGAAATGAGATGTGGGAAAGGTAGTAAAACAACACTGTTAGGCCTAAGTGAGGATATATAGAGAGAAGCCAGGCATTATTTCATACCTACAGTATCCCACAGCAGAATATATCCTTGTTCTCTAGGACAGAAAGTATTGTCGTTACCATTGCTCATATAAACAGCAGAAATTTCTATTAATCGAAGAGTGGGGTATATAAAGCTAGATATACAAGGAACAAAGATTACACCAGATGAACTCACCATAAACACTACCTTTAATGTCAGTACAAAGAACCTTGACCTACCGCACATCCTCCCTCCCCGTCGTAAACTGAACACTAGCCGAAACAATCTGCATAACCGTCTCAATCTCCGCCTCCGTCCGTGGCGCATAGATCAAAACATACTCCGCCGGAATATCAGGTCTCGTACCCAGCGAAAGAAATGTCATCGCACGTGTACCCGAGAAAGCATGACGCTGTCCCCAACCAGCCACAATAACCTTGATACCTAGTGAACGTTAACAACCATCACACAACAAACAGAAGAAAACCCATACAATCAGCCGGTGCAAGGACCATATGAACAGAATGATCATTTCCCGAATGAATATGCGCAATCTCCCGCTTCATAGTTTCCGCAATCCCAGAAACGGGAATATGATCCGCAACAAAGAGCCCATCGGCATGTCGTTCCAGATTCGATTTCTGGAATTTCGTGAGATGGTGATTCCGATGTCCGAATGCTGTAAATGCAGTTCGGAATTTCTATGAAAATCAGTTAAATGGTTCTTCATTCTAGTCCTCTTTCCGCCTTCTTTCCGCCTTCTCTTTCCCAAAACAAGCAATACACACCTCCATAACAGCCTCATCCGGCAACTGCGTTATCTGCCGCTGCGGTACAACATGCGGTCCAACAACAGGTCTCTCCTCCCGAAACTGTTCCTTAGTCAAGGATAAAAACCCTTCATTACCCTTCCCATGACCCTCGGCTGCCGCAATGCGCTTCACATACTGGTCCGTGCTGACCATCTCGCGCCCGAATGGCTGGAACAGCGCGCGCACGAGAACCCATCCTACCGCGTTATTCGGGACCCCGCCCGGGCCGTAGGATTTGAAGATTTTGTAGTCACGATACGCGGCGGGGAGGATGAGGGTTGAGACGAGGAGCGCTGCGGCGCTGAGGGTCAGAGTTAGACGGTCTTGGGCGTGGAAGGGGTTGGAGAGGGTTATTGGCATGTTTGTGGTGTTTGTATGATATACAGTGTCTGTGGAGATATTTAGAGGAGTTTGATTTTCAACTATAGAGATTTGAAGTTAAATAGAGGGAGGTGTTTATGGCCGAATGCGGCTGACGTGAGAAATTGGCTGACGCGATCCCGAAGAATTCGCGTTCCGGTTCTTTTTCAGGGCTATATATAAACACATTGTTAATCTGGTTTCATTTCGCTATGCTACTCGTATTATCATTAATTCCGATGTCTGAAATGACTCGGTTCATGGATTTAGGTACAATAATCTGACGGATATCCACGGCCCCACAGGCTTGTGGGAGGTGGCACCCTTGTCGGAAGGTCCAGTGAATCGCTCAATGCGGCCTGAGACAATCCAAAATCCGAAATCCGTGTCATATGTCTCGGCATTCACCGAGTTCCACGTGGCAGCAGACGTCATGGGTCTGAAGCGCTTACCCATAGCCAGAGTATCCGGCCGCATCTCCATTGTGGGTTGATTGTGTTGATAACGATATCAGTGTGTAAAAGACACAGAGCAAGGGATTGCAAGCTTTCAATCCTCTTTGCTCTCCTCTCGGCTAATGGAGGTCAGGGAGTGTGCAAGCTTCAGGAGCACTACACTCTCCGTTGCGGCGAAGTAATTTAAGCTGTATAGTCATGTTAGAGCACATAACCAAGGAATGTGAATGTGAATGTTACTCACCTGTCCATTAAAATCCGGAGATGGCGCGAGAAATGGTCCTCGTATCGTTTCAGTGTGTCCTCGAGTTTTCCAATCCGAGTTGGATCATATCCTCTGGCATCTGCCCCAGGGACTTTGCCTCCAGCCAAGTCGGGATCAGCTGAAGCCAAGGCTCGTGAAAGTGATGCTGCTGTCCAGGAAGCAAACATGGTGCAGCAAGTCACCAGTTTCGAATGGATCTATATAGTTATTAGTATGAAAACCACCGCTAGTGTAGAGAAACGAACCTTCAACAGTTTAGCCTGTGTAAGCATGCACTCCTTCAAACATGTATCCAAGAAATCCACATGATCTTGCATCAGCTCATCAACCGTCCGGTTGACCTGCTTCATATCATTTTCCTCCACCTCCGACGCATCGGCGTGGACGCTGTTGACACGATCCATCAGACCCACCCAATTGGGTTCAATGACCTCAGCTGTACAGAAGTACAACAGCTGCTGGACAAACACCAACATCTTCGCGCGCAGGTTCCACGCTCGCCGTTTCCATATTTCAAGCCGTCGATCGGAGGATTTATGCCGCCAGCTGGTGGTCTTATTCTGGTCTGCCCAGGACGTGACTAGCAACGTCTCAAGATGGCGTAGTGATAGAAGATGGCGGAAAATAAGTTGGTACCGTAGAACGGTTTTGCGGCTAATGACGAGTGACAGAGGGAATGGAACCGAATAGTCCAGCTCAAGCGCATCGAATCCAAGAATATCTTTGTCCTCGTCGGCAGAATGGGCAGCAGAGACTTGTTGCTTCTCCGCCTCGGTCCCCTCTTGATTAACTCCGGAGACATTCACGACTTGCATCAGCCATTTCGTGAGGCCAATCTTGTTCATTCGCACCTTAACATCTTCCTTGAACGGATCCAGTGCTGCAACACTGCCAGGCTGTCGAAGGACAATATCTAATAGTGATTGGAGCTTGCCCTCGTTGACCGCACGCGCCGGCTTTCGTAGCTCGGAAGCACCAAGTTCAAGGAAGTAGGAAAAGAAATCGGAGCGATCTAGGAAGAAATAATGTTTTAGGGAGCGGAATCGAGTTGTGAGGGAGTTTTTCGTGACAAGAAGGTTCAACAAGGAAGCGTTGGCGTAAGTGTAGGCGGAATTGACATTGTCTAGGAAGCGTGGATCATCGAGCGTTTTGGGGACATCTTTGACCTCTTTGCTGACGTCGACACCACCACATTCACGGACCACGTTAAGATACTTTCCAGCCAGCAGGACTTTATCCTGCACACTCTTCAATTGAGGTGGAACCTCATGTTCTCGAATTGTGTAACGCTTCTCCCAATATTCGTCCGTGTAATCCTCCTCGAGTTTCTCGCGCTTGATCCACTTTTGTTCTTTGACCAGGAACTCGGCATGGGGATCCTTGATACCGCCGTGGTGTAACCATTCATTCAACATAGTCATGTATGGCCTACTGGCGTCACGCAATAATGTCTGAAGCAGGGTCTTGGTGGTTGGATCCCCTGAGAATGAAGCCAGACGTGCCGTCAAGAGTCCGAGAATATTGCCTCCTTTGCACATCTTCTTGCGGGCCAGAGACCCTGGTACTAGGTCTCCCCCTTCTTTGAGTTGTTCAAGAATATTGTCAACATCCTCATCGAAGTCGTCAATCGACTCCTCGAGCTCTTCGTCCAGAAGGCCATTTTTGAGCAACAGTTCCTGGCCCATTGAATATAATTGAGACAGACATTGACTGGTGGGCATTGTGTGGAGATGAAGAAGGTGTAAGGTAAATGTAGGATTGTTCAGCAACTGGCCTTCCAGCTGGGCGATAAGGATCAGGTAATCTTTCAGGAGCTTTCGAATAGATGCGCACAGTGAGTGACTAACAGCACCACACTCGGCGCGGCTTTGGATTTCGACAAATGCCTCCATGGCACTGTAGTGTGTTGCCATTTTCAACATGGACTGGATGAGATCACGAAGGGTGGGATCCAGCCCCGGGGCTATCTGGAAGACTGGGCCCGTGAGGCGGTCTTTCTCGATTGATGGGTCGTATGAGCTAGCGTAGTGGACATATTGACCTTCGAATCCCATGAACACGAACAACAAGTCCTCCAGGATCGCTGCTTCCTGGGCATCGGGCGAGAGCTCTCGGAGTGGCCGAGGATGAAGGGCCTGCGGAACCGTCGAAGCTAGAGGGGGAACTGATACACGACATGCGAGGGGAGCTGTCGAGTGAGGAACCAATGATGCTTTGGGATTCCATGGTGCTGTGAAGGAAAAGTCAAGGTCAGTAAATCTGCAATCCACAACAAACTGCGGCGCAGGGATCATTCACAATCAGCTGGGTCCTTCTCCCCAGTTCGGGCACTGGGATTTGCGTCATCAAGTTGCACAAGTTTCCTAGGCCGAGTCTTATCCCAATCGCCTCTGTTGGCTGCACTAATTGATTCCTTAACAGGGTTCGCAGGGTTCCTTCGCACTGCCTTTTCCCGTGATGTAATCACTATCCGTTCTGAGCGCTTCTCCGGCATGCTCTTCTGATCCCGGGGTACTCTGTGTTTTTGACTCGAGGAGCTGTGGCGCAAAGGATCCTTGTTCTCAGTTTGTAGCGGCGACGGTCCGCGAGTTTCGGAATCGACGCGATTGGAGACGGCGCGGGGTCGTGGAGCGCTCATATACGCGGCGCGGTCATTGGCAGACATAATCCCGCGAGGGCGACGAGTAAATCATGCAGCATAGGAGATTTCAAGGCGCGAAATCGAAGAATTAGCAACAAAAATAACAGAACCAATGTATATGGGGAGAAGATGCAAGTATCCAAACAACTCCACTTTGGCTTGGGCATAATATTCTGCCTCAGGCATAAAGGCAGTAACCAGGCACCTCACCTCTTGCGTACGTCGAGAGCTTCCCTTCCCGAGCTTCACTCAGACACCCACCTCTGCTCCTCTTCCCTTCCCAACTGATTCTTTCCTCCATCGTGATTCTATATTGCTTCATTGATCCTTCTTTTTGACAAGTTTCCTCTATCCCATCAGATAATCCAATATGTTCATTGCACGATCAGAATATGGTAAGCTTCATCTGGGTCTCCCCTCACCGCGAATCAACTAACAGCTTTGGATAGACCGTGGAATCAAGTACGTTCTCCGAATTTAATCTGCATCCTCAGATAGATCTGCAGCCTGACAATGTTTCCTCCGCAGCACCTTCTCTCCCGAAGGTCGTTTGTTCCAGGTCGAATACTCTCTTGAAGCTATCAAACTAGGCTCCACCGCCATCGGAGTATGTCATACCACACAATTCCTCTTTGTTATACCATTCCACGGAAGGCCTCAAATCACAACGAGCGATCTTCGTACTGTTATCGGAGCGCAAAGCCAAGGATAATGCGAATATGGAACTGTCTTTCTAACAGTCATCTAGGTAGCAACCTCCGAAGGTGTGATCCTCGGTGTTGAGAAGCGCGTCACATCCACATTGCTCGAAGCGTCGTCCGTCGAGAAGATTGTCGAAATTGATCAGCACATCGGCTGTGCCATGTCCGGTCTGCAGGCCGATGCCCGCAACCTGGTTGAACACGCCCGCGTCGAATGCCAAAATCACGCCTTCCACTATGCCGAGCCTCTGCGGGTCGAGAGTACAACGCAGGCAATTTGCGATTTGGCTCTTCGATTCGGTGAGAGCGGTGACGATGAGGAGAGTGTCATGAGTAGACCGTTTGGTGTTGCACTGTTAATCGCGGGTTATGATGAGGATGGGCCCCAACTGTAAGATATGTGGTTTGCTTTTGTCTGATATATTTACTGACTCGTCTTTTTGTTAGATACCACGCTGAACCATCCGGTACATTCTACCGGTATGACGCCAAGGCCATCGGTTCGGGAAGCGAAGGCGCGCAGGCGGAGCTGCAGAATGAATACCATCGGTCTTTGACTCTAGCAGAGGCTGAGACCTTGGTCCTCAAGACGCTGAAGCAGGTCATGGAGGAGAAGCTTGATTCCAAGAATGTCCAGCTGGCCAGTGTCACCAAGGAGAAGGGATTCCGTATCTACAACGATGAGGAGATGGGCCAGGCTGTCACACAGCTCGGTGGCAACCAATAAGTGCGATTAGTGTCAAAGATATCTCTTGAGGGGGCTCCTTGGACTTGATTTGGAGGCTAGTATCTATGTCGGGAGCAATAGAAAAATAATGACGATGCCGTCCAACGCTTATATGCTGGCCTAATTACGTCGTATTTCACGTAGCTAGCAACTTAGAGATGGTTCATAAGCATAGAGGTCATGTGTGGTAAATTTGATTATATACAATGACAATAGATCCTTTGCAACATCTAGCGGATCTTATAAACACACGGCTTCAGCACCTGGGCCTCTTGCTCAGCCGACATGCCAGACTCTGAATCAGGCTTGCGGTCAACAAAGCGCTTCTTGTTGCCACCAGGAGCAGGCGCACTGAGAGCCGAAGCGTGTTTTCCCTTGGTAGGTGCACCACCCTGCTTAACAAACACCATTCTCACAAACATCTTATTGGACTTATCCACGGACTCCTGGCGAAGCATGAACCCACGAGACCGGAACACCTCCACAAATGCCGAGATATCAGTCTCGTCCTTATTGTCAGATGGGCGCACATCCTCAGCAAAGATATCACCCTCATCATCAGACTCGTCGGCAGCCTTCTTCTTGGGCTTCTTCTTGTCCGCCTTGCTGCCGGGCTTTTGTGCACCGATCTGAGACTTCTTGCGTTGGACCTTGCCAAATCGACTTTTGACCTCACTGACCCAGCACTCGCCCTTGCCGTCGCCGCGCAGAATACGCCATGCCTCCTCGACGAACGAAACCCAGTTGGTTCCCATCAGACTCAGACAGAAAATAGCCACATCTGCGGCCCCATCTTCCAAGGGGAGGTTCGAGATATCGGCTTTGGTGATCAGCGCATCGGGCGCGGCCAGATCGTAGCTGTTGAGCTTGAGCTTCAGCTTCTTGGCTGAGGGAGTCAAGGCGCGTGCGAGCTGTGCATCACCACAGCCAAGATCGGCAATGGTGCATAGTCCAGTGGGACGACGGGGAAGCGGGTAACCCTTGGCAGGGTTAAGGGGATTTCCTCGCTTCGGAAGCGGGATCGCACCGCGGTGGCGGATGGTCTTGATGTAGTCGTCGACCGGGTTCGAGGGCCAAGACTCCTTCACCTGTCGCGCAAATCCGGCATGGTACTCGTCGAACAGTTCCGGATTGGTGCTGAACATCTCGAGTGCTTTCTCGGAGGGGGTGGTATAGAGAGTTTCGTTCAGGTGACGGAATCGAGAGGAGATCAACTTCTGTCGCATCGCCTGCTGGAGAGGGGTCAGGTTCGCTGTTGGTGGGAGTGCAGGCGCAGCGGGAGCGGGAGCAGGAGCAGAAGCTTCTTTAGTTGGGGCAGTGGTAGCATCTGCCTCAGCCTTGTCCTCTGATGTGTTGTCCTTGTTCTTCTTGTTCTTCCTTTGCCTCTTCTTGGGTGCTTTCTCCTCGGCTTGATCTGCGTCTGCATCGGCGGTGGTGACAGCTTCGCTTGTCGGTTCCTGGGTGGTGGTTGTCTCAGGTGTTTGCTTCTCCTTCTTTTCCTTCTTCTGCTTCTTCTCTGACTTTACAGGACCTTCTGCGCCTTGCTTGCCACCCTTGGTAGTACCCTCAATGTGCCTGCGGTACATCTCATCCACATTGCCGGCGGTGACACGGTCATTGGCACGCTTGCGCTTGTTATTCTTCCCATCAGAATTGGGGGCATCCTTCTCCGGCTGCGACTCGTTCTTGGGCTGCACAGCCTGAGTCTGTGGCTGCAGAGCAGAGCTCTCAACGGACCATCCTGGAACAGCGAACATAATTAATTCTGAAGGATTGGTTGTAAATGCCCAATTCCTTTGAAATAGAAGGAACGGTCAGAAAAAAATCTCAAAGTTTCGTTATCGGTAATTTGGTAATCTTACTATCGATTACATACACAGTGATGCCTCAGGCAGAAGACCGGGGTAATACTCGCCTAAACGCCTATGGCATGACCGTGTTTTGAGACACAAAGAGAACGTTGTGCATAATGTTCACCGGGATACCCCTAAGTAGCTCGTAAGCCCTTGTAATTATCATACCCGAGGACACTTAATTCTGACTGTGCACTTAAGAACCTTGCAAATACGAAGGTGATCCCCCCTGACGAACCATCTATCGCGGATGATCTGCGGCCCTCGGCAGCTTTTCCCTCTTAGCTGTCTTACGGAGTACTTATCTGATCATTGTATCTTTAGCCCCACAATGTTCTCGCACATGTCCACTCTGCAATCTTGAGTAATGACTGATGACCTTCAGGATCAGCTGGATATTCCAGCGGATCTTACTGTTGGGGATACTGCAGAAGCCTCAACTGCACGATCAGGTCCCCGGAGGCTCCCGAAGAAACGAACTAAGACTGGCTGTTTGAGTATGTTACAGAACACTAGAGAGAGGGCTACCCCGTTGACCAAGCCTCATAGCTTGTCGAAAGCGCCGGATCAAGTGTGGCGAAGAGAAACCAATATGCACCAACTGCGTGAAATCCAAGAGACTCTGCGAGGGTTATGCCCAGCGAGTCGTGTTCAAAAACCCCATAGGCATATTTGGGTCTTTCAGTACTGGCCACGGCCAGGACCTGCAGATAGAGCAACAGCATATGAGGGTGCCGATATACAACGACTATGGCTCCCAACTCCCTCCCCAACAGGCGGCAGCCGCTGCTCAGCATCCAATGCTGGCTCCGCGACCTGTCGATCCGGCGACGATGGGATATCACTCATTCCCGTCTCGGGTCCCTTCGCCCACTCAAAGCCAGCCGATTAACGCACCTCCCTTCTATTATTCAGCGGCTCAAGTGCAGGCGCCAACCTATGTGTGGCACACTCAACCGATAGCTCGAGAGGAAAGCACGTTCATTGCATCAAATGTGACTGACTCCTCACAATCACAGCAGTCAGTTCAGCTAGGACAGACGAACACTCCACATATGTCTCATGCTATCACACAAAATGCACCTCAGGTCACCAGTCCAATCGGCCAGACAGCTGAAGAATATGCCTCCAATCTCTCCCCGCTACCACCTCCCAATCCAATGCCGGAAAGCAGGGAGAGCGAAATCAACAAGATCCCTCAGGTATACATTGCCATGATCTTTCTGCTTTTCGCAGCCGATATGCTGAATACGATTTCTTAGATTACACATCCACTACCTACGATATATCATTATCAGCCACCCCTAGGTCAATTACCACAGCAATTACGATCTCATGAACAGTATATACCCCATCAGGTACCTCACCAAACACAAGTAGTATATATGGAGGATGAAAGCGAGGATTATTACGACGTGGATTCGGATGACGAGATGGTGGATCAATCACAGGCCGAAGGCTTCAACCAGCTGAGTCTCATCATGGCCTCTGCTAACCGCGATGAGCGACAACTCCGCTCCTTCACTACCTATTTGAACGAGCCCAATGTGCTTGCCTCATACCGTCCTACACTTGGCTCTTCTCCCTTGAATAACCCAAAGACCGCCCGCATATTTGCTCACTTCATCCACTCGACCGGTCCATCCTTGTCTATATTTGAACGACATCCTACTGACTCCTCAATTGTTCTGGGGGCGGCTGTCCCACCTGCGCAACAGGGTCTATGGGTCTATACACTTGCCCTCAAAGCTTTGGAGCATCCAGCCCTCCTCCAGGCAATACTGGCTGTCAGCAGCTTACATATTGCATATTTACAGCAAGTTCCCACAACAGTATCTTTGAAGCATTATCACTACGCCCTGAAACGAGTTGGTTCTGCAGTCGGCCTTCCCCTCCGACGCAAGCAAATCGGTACTTTGGCTGCCACTCTTCTACTTGGCTACTATGAGGTGATATCTGCCGATCACTCGAAATGGAATAACCACTTGGGTGGGTCCACCCATCTGATCCGAGAGATCGACTTTGCCAAGACCACTAGAGACCTACGGGCATATCGACGTAGAGCTCACGAGCAGCGACTCCAGTCGGGCTGGACGAGTTCGTGGTGGGGAATGCCTGGCGATGTCTCCGAGGACGATCCCTTCTTTGAGAAAGAGGACAGTGTCGACGAAGATCTTATAGGTGCCATTATGGGACAAGCAGTAAACTACGACCATTTCGGATGCATCAACGGAAAGAGTGCGCCTCCCTCCAAAACGCATTTCACCCGCAAAGACATTGAGGTTTTTCGGATTCAATGCGATCTGTACTGGTGGTACGCAAAGCAAGATGCGCTTCAGAGTTTCATTGGCGGGAACAAACTATTGTAAGTCTAGACTCACAGCTACTAGTAGGTATACGATTTACTTATCCTAAAACAAGAATGCCCTATTCTCAATGGGGTCAATGTCCGCCGCGAGCAGGCATTGGCCGCTTAGATGCCATCTACGGCTCCGCAGACCACTTGTGGCTGCTGCTCGCTCGGGTCACAGATTTTGCTTTGCGTGATCGCAAGCGAAAATTGAGAACGCTAAAGGCAGGCGGGGTGGACTGGAAGCCAGGCCCTGAGATGTTTCAATTTATGGGTCGCTTCGCTGGCGGCCCTCCTGGTCAAAGACCTGGACCACCTGGTGGATTCGGCCCGGGGGGTCCCCTTGGACCTCCATCTAAGACGCCTAATATGCAACCTGAAGGGCACCCCAGGGACCCATCCATGGGAGAGCCTACTAGAGCGTCCCCTGCTTCTAGCCCTGGGCTGGCCTCGGCCGACAGTCCTCCAATGTACGGAATGATACCCCCTCAACCGCCTGCACGCCTTCCCTCGGGATTCCAAGATAGACCGCGTGAGCCTCGCTTATCGCCAGACGAGGATGACCCGGCTCACGACATGAGTTACAAGGAAGCCGAACAAGAATGGGAACAGATCCTGGTTGCTATGGACATATTCTCTCAAGCTTTGGGTCGCGATTTCCAGCCTTTGCCAGCAGATGTCGCGCCCCCGATCTCTACACCGTTCGGTCCGGCCCTCCAGTATCGTACCCATACCATCGCCGTGATTTGGGGGTTCTACTATGCCATGCGACTTCTGCTGAATCGAATTCACCCCTGCATGCCACCGGCCATTATGATGGCAGCTGGGGTATCTGCTCCAACGACGGCTGGATTCGCACAGACTATTGGAAAGATCCTGGGGGGTGTCTACTATCCGCAACGCTTTAACCTCGAAGCTGGAAGTTTAAGTCCAAATTTGGGTTCTGGGTTGACTGACATGACAGTACCGATTTTCTTTGCAGCTGTACAATTTACTGATCCCACACAGCGGGCTTGGACGATTTCAAAACTTCGCGACATCTCTCGTTTGACTGGATGGAAGACCGCGGATGCTATTGCCGGGGGCTGTGAGAAAGCATGGGTAGTCGCTGCAAAGCAAGGTCGTGGGCCACCCTATGAACGGTCATTTGAGAATGACCGAACCCGGGAAGAACAGGAGCGTAAGGTAAGCGTGTCTATTGGTAATCCTTGGTCTATACAATCCACGCTAATGTATTTGCGCCACAGACTGAGGCTGTGCTGGAGGAAGTTGAAGACCGCCGCTTTGTGACGGTCAAGCTAGATCGGGCGCATTGGGCTATGGGAATCTTGGAAGAGGACATTGCGAATTTGGAGATTTAGGATTGGATCAAGGATACGTGCAATGCATCAGTACCTACATATTTACATATCACATACATTAGGCATAACATACAGTAGTATCATACAGTGCCAATAGAAGATGTGGCGCAGGTAAGTCTCCAAGTATCCCCCCACATTCAATACAATCTGACCCAATGTCATCACTGATCGACTTCTGCCTGACACTTTACACATCTTGTTTTTTTTTTTTCTTTTATTGTTTCTTTTCTCCCAAGGCTGATTGTCGATTTCTTCTTTCTATTGTTTTCTCCTCATTTCTGCCTTTCAGTGTTTCATATCTCTCGTCTCTCCAGTCTCGTCCGTGGTTTCCTCGAAAACCCCACCCTCGGCTCGGAAGTCAGCCGCTCGCGTCATCCACGGTTCACCACAACGTTTTGTAGAATCCGGTGATACTCCCAGAATGTCGCGGTATGATGATTACCGCTCGTCAACAGGAACCCTGGATTCTCGAGATCGATTTGATCGATACTCACGGGGTCCCCCAGTGGCCGAACGACCCCGCCATGCCGAAGAGCGCTTTGAAGCACGCCTCCGTGACGAAGACCGATATGGACCCCCTGCGCGCGCCCCTGGGAGACTCTACCAGGATGACCACTTAGACCACCAATCCCCTGCCAACTCTCTTGTGGCACATGACCGAAGTCGGCGCCGTGATGACAGTCCCTCATTTCGACGTCCCCAACTCATTAGGCGGCAGTCGTCCTTGGATACTTTCGACCGCATACCCCGGCGCAAGATGGAACATCTTGATGCCCGAGATCGAGGACCGCGCGCTCCCCGCGCACCTATGGTTGCTCCGCCTCGTCCTCAGTTTTCTCCGGGCCGTTACCGTGAGCGGGAAGTCTATGAGGATATTAGAATCGCCGAGCCCGACTACTATGGTGACGAAGAGTTTAGAGATATTCGTGATCGAGAAATGGTTGATCATCGCCGTCGCTCTAGCAGTACTGTACGCAGGCATCACGAGAAGCCTTACCCGCGCAAAGGGAAGACCCGTGTTCCTCGTCACCTTGCACACATTCACGCCATTATGGACCTAGGGTATCCGTTCAAGGAAGAGGTTGGTGTTTTGTTGTCCCACAGCGCTGTTTTCAGCTACTGACCTAAGTAGGGGGATTTGATTATTATTCAAAAGGCATTGTCGAAGGAACAGATCGATGAAGTGCTTAGCTTGAGCCGCGAGTTCAGGCGCCCTTCGTCTAGGGAAAGTGAGTGGCATCCGCTTTCACAGTCCTCGGACTTCATGGGTAAGGGTCATACTAATTATCGTTTTCAAACAGCTGAATACATTGGCCTGTCCCCATCTCCTCCCCCAAGGGAACGGCGGTCGCGCGAGCAGGTGACAGAATACCTACGTGTCGAGGCTTCCCCTCGCACCAGTCAAGCATTCATCGTGGACGCAACACCCGCCCGACACAGATCCCATTCGCGCCACCATGTGGACCAGTACGAGGAGATTGTGGAGAGGCCGCGAGTGCGAGGAGTCTCCAGGCGACGAGCTGTATCAGTCCATGCTCATGGACCTCGTCTCTCTCCCGTGCAGTATATCGAGGAGCGGGATTCTTCTGCTGTTCGGGCGGGTCAAATGGTTGTTGTTCGTCCACGGGAGAGCGATCACGACGTGAACGAGTACATTCGCGAACTGGAAGAGGAGACGAGACTTCTTCGCCTGGAAAGGCAGGGTGGAATTGAGATCACTCGAGAACGCGAAACAGATATCATTGACGATAGAGGCAACCAGGCTGAGATTACTGAGACCAGGACGCAGGAGCGCTCAGGTATGACGACCTATATTTACTGTATCGTTCTGGTGATTCTGACCTTCTTTAGAACCCAACTCTCGCATCATGCGTGCTATGATGGCAACTCTGACCTAACCTGATTTCTGTTCTGCTATGCTGTTTTTCTTTTGAAGCGGAGACTTACGATGTTATGATTCCGATTCTAAGGTTCCGGGTTCTGGATGGGCATTTCCGGATGTTTTATGTATTTTCTTAATCAATTTGCAAATTATCTCTAGGTACAATATTGAAAGTCTTAACAGTCTACACTCACACAAGGCTGCTCCTAAGACGAATCATGAGTTTGACATATTGGAGGTTCTCCGGTAGAAAAAAGGACTCAAAAGTACAAAGTCATTGTATCGTGGGTGCCTGGTATTTTGATATGTGGCGTAAACGAGGCGGTGCAAGGTCGAGGCTTTGTCCCGCCCGCGTAGCACATGTAAAGACATCCTATCATCACTCCCATCCATTTGTCATTTCCCCTGCTTTTTCTAACTAAAAAGTTCCAAATACGCCAATCATGGATCGAATGCAGGCATTCGGAAAGAACTTCAGGTGAGTACACTGTCATACCCCTATCCTGCGGACCCTATTCCATCCCCCTCGACTTGTGATCGGTCGCTTTACTAACATCTTCTTGCCTTGTGGTTTTCTGACGGGTAGTGCGAACTTTACGCCCTTTGCGCAGCGTACCCAGCAAATGATCAAGGAGCAGCTGGGCCAAGCCGAGGACAAGACCCAGCTCCCCGATGAATACATCGAGCTCGAGAAGCGCGTCGATGCGCTCAAGCTTGTCCACCAGAAGCTGTTGCAGGTGACGTGAGTAATTTCTGTTGCTTTCTGGGCTATAGATAGCTTTCCAACAGGCGCTAACCGCCACGAACAGCTCCCAATACTCCAACGAGGCCTACGACTACCCTCCCAACATCCGCGAGTCCTTCAATGACCTGGGCCGCACTATCAACGAGAAGGTCCAGCTCCTGTCCCAAGCAGGCTCGCCCGCTGAGGCACAAGCTGCCCTGACAGCTCCCCCTTCTGCAAAGCCTCAACCCAAGACCTTCAACCACGCCATTGCCCGTGCCTCCCTTGCCGGCTCCCAGACACTCGCGCAGAGCACCGAGGGCGAAGACCCACTCGCCAGTGCTTTGGAGAAGTATGCTCTGGCCGAGGAACAGGTTGGCGAGGCTCGTCTGGCCCAGGATGCTCAGATCCAGTCCCGCTTCCTGGCTGGCTGGAACACCACTCTCAACACCAACTTGATGTTCGCTGCTAAGGCGCGCAAGAATGTTGAGAATGCCCGCTTGATGCTTGACTCCATCAAGGCTAGCAAAAAGGCTGGTGCCCACGGCGACCTAGATAACCTGAGCGAGGATGCCCGCGCAGAGATTGAGCAGGCCGAGGATGAGTTTGTTGGTCAGACTGAGGAGGCTGTGAGCGTGATGAAGAACGTACGTTGTGATTGATTTTCTTTATTTGCTTGTTGGTCTCTGAACTCAGTCCTCCGGTACTAACATCACTTGCAACAGGTCCTTGATACCCCCGAGCCCCTGCGTAATCTAGCCGATCTGATCGCCGCCCAGCTTGAGTTCCACAAGAAGTCATACGAGATCCTTAGCGAGCTTGCTCCGACTGTAGATGCGCTGCAGGTCGAACAGGAGGTAAGTTCTTAGTGACTCTCGATTTCCTTGTCCATCACATCTAACATCTTTTCTTTAGGCCAGCTACCGTAAGATCCGCGAGGGCGCATAAGCCTTGTTTTGATTGCCGTGTTTTATTTTGTTATCATTCTGCCCGGCTCCGGTTTTGTCTGTTACTCTGAGCCATGGCCTTGTGTTTTGTATCTAAGCCGCTTCGATTCTGCCCAACAGATCATTCAGTCTGCATTTTTGGGCTTGAAATGGGTTCTCCTTTTTATATTAAAAGTCATATTGTAGTGGAAATGTAGAGTAGATGCCACCTTCGTTGATGTATAGATGTCATTCCATGGCATCCACCGCCCGCCAATTCTGCCTCAGCATCCCGCTAGCTCCAGGAGCTCCGACAACAACGGAGATACTCCAACTCGCCAGGTCGCCTTTTTCAGCTCGCAACACACCTAACAGCTGCATATTTTCGAAGAGAACCTCCGATATTTGGTTCCTTTGATAAATACCCAAAACATCATCGACCCGATCCCAATCGAGCCACGCTGCACCGAACGATCGATTACTTGTCCGTCTACCCGCGCCGTCAAAGGATCCGGACGTTCAAGAACACTTGTGCGGAACATCTATACCTTCGATCAAACGATTATCCTCTTTTGTGTTGTCCTCCATAGATCTATCGCTCCTCCCCGACACATTCATATAACATACCGAATATTCTCCACTCTGGATTGTGCTTTACTCCGGCGAAAGATAATAACAGAATACCGGCAAAATGGCAAACGGGTATGTTTATCTCTCTATCGGAATCATGCAATAAACAGCGCATATCTATCTGGAGCCATGGAGGCGATGATTACCTAGTTACGGATAATCGCATTGTTCAATCTATCCCGCCACGCCTCGACCTCCCATACTATCTACTCGATAAAGATACAAGGCTACAGTCGCTAACGTGAAATTAAACAGTTGGAGCCTCATCGTTGGCCTGGTTATCATCATTGGCCTCTCGACAGCAGCGTGGTTCCTAAGCCCGAAGGGCGATAACCAAACGTGAGTTCATGCTTGTGTGCTGGGTGTCGAGTCCACACTTTGAGATTCGCATGTACTTGAAGATACTGACTCTCTGTTATCCTCAGTCTCTTCCGCAGCACGCTTATCCTTACCTTCGTTTCCTGTTACTTGATGTGGGGTATGTATCTTATCCAATCTCCGTATCCATCCCATGATCTGTGGACTACATAAAAGATGCTAACATACTTGGATATAGCCATTGTCTTCCTCGCACAATGGCATCCACTTATCGCACCAAAGCGTTCAGACATCAGACCTGATCGCGTACCGCACTAGAGGCGTTTCTCTTTCTTTTGTTTTTCGTCAATCCTGTCAACTGACATTTTGGGAGATTGTCTGCTGTAGGATGTTGTCTCATCTTATCTTGTCACGGGATGGTATAAGATGATATCAAGTCTATCCTATCCTCTGATGTGCGTGGGTTAGACAGGAATGAAGACTTCTTTTCTTTCTCTGTGCTTATGCTTGGTAGCGGGCTGTTTGTGGAATCGGTCTCCATTGCGAACTTGTGTGGGTTCACAGCTGCTTCATGTTTTTGTATAGCTCTTATCCTAGATGGCCTTTTCTTCGCAGCGTTTTTATTTTTTTCGTTTTGATTCGGTTTTAGTAGTTGCTCGGTTTTTGTATGGAATGCATTCATATCATCTTCAGTCCCTTTACCAGGTCAATACAACTAGCCACCTCCCACTATATATAAGGATGTCGACTAGTGGATTCTGCTTTGCAAAGTGTTTGGACCAAGTGATGTGCAAATATACATATATGTGACAGCAACTTCAACACTGACAGAGATATGTCGAATTATTGTCGAATTATTATGTATATTAGTTCTTAAGTATACATTTCAAGCATTCCATCAACCAACCCCCACGGCACCAAGAATCACCCTCTGCACCGCCCACCGAGCGATTTGGCCCGCAACAGCAACAGCAACAGCGCGCAGATACCCACACCCAAGTAAGATATACAAAGCCTCGATATTACTCAGAAGCACAAGGTGCGTATCAACAACACCAAGAGAAAGCAACGAAGATAACAAGTCAAAAAGCCCCGTCAGATAGCTAGTCGGCGTCGAAGTCCGAAGCAAAGAAGCCGTCGCACCCAGCCACGATTCCAGGAAGGAAGAAGAAAACGCCGAAGCCGGCGGAGATGATATAGCTGCGTTTGCAGAGAGCAGGGAGGTTTTCGTCGCTGTGGCGAGAAGACTCTCATGCACCGTGCTCGTCATAGCTGTCTGCGCTGGAGACCGGATCTGTGCTGATGTCTGGCTGTGCGCTGGGATGTCTGACAGGCTGCCGTTGCCGTCGGCGCCCCAGATTACTAGCAGAATGGGGAAGAGCTTTGCGCAGCTGCTGACTAGCAGGGCGGTGCTGATTGCTGCTGGGCTTGCGGCTGTTGGAGGGGGGAGGGGTTGGATGTTCTGCATTGGGGCTGTTGACGTCCGGCGTAGCGGCGGTGCGGGTCGTGGGGGAGGTCCCACTGATGTACTTTGTGGTGGTGGTGATAGCTCGGTTGGGGATGTGACCTCGCCAGATGAGCTTGGGGTTGGGGTTGGGGCTGGATTTTGTAGGATCCCTGGGTTGGTAGGGTTCTGGGTTTGTGTGCTTATTGGCACTCCAGATGGCGAGGGATGAGTTGGCGTGGGAGGCCCGGAGGGGAAAGGGGTGGCATCTCCTGTAGATCTGGTGGTAGGATTGGTGTTTGCATTGCTGCTGTCTGGTCCGCTGTATCTGCGCGACTTTGGAACCAGGATTGAGGCCAAGAGGCGCACGGTGAGGTGGTGCGCGAGAGTTGCGGCTGCATTCAAGCTGAGGAAGAAGAGGTATTGGATAATGATAGGGGCGCGTGACAAGAAGGTCGTTGCGAGAGATGGGTCCTTCTCAATGCGTGCCCAGGTCAGGTAGACGTCAAAAAGAAGTAGAAGAACTCCTAGGCGAATTATAGATCGCTAAAAGCCCACCTTGTCAGCAAGTAGCTCACAATTGTGTGAGGTGATATACCCACGTCGAACTGGTTGTCGTCTCGCCCGAGCCGATTGAAGAGGAGATGTCGGTATACCTGTTTCAAGATAGGTTAGCCAGATCGCATCCGTCGAGAATACGTATGATGCTTACCTGGGGCTTAATGAGCACCAAGTCAATGAAGAGCACGACAAAGTCATATTCAACGTATTTGTCGGCAAACCGCTGGCAACGCGGACATTGCGTTAGTCGCACACCCTTTCCTTGGGATCGGTCATCGGCACGACTATAGGCACTGTACAGGTGAGAGACCGGATAGGAGCACTCGATGCAAATAGGCATCGCGTCACATCCGTAGATCTTTGGAATATCCAAGGGTCCAGACTACAGCTCTCTTATCGCAATACATATTAAAGGCGGTAAACATAGGGAGGACACGACAATGGGCTAAGATTGAATATAGAGCTGAAACTAGCATCCAATATCCGATATGGTGTAGTGGCTAACATCGTCGTCTCTCACACGACAGCCGGGGGTTCGATTCCCCCTATCGGAGTTTCTTTTTTGGTTTTCTATTTTTTTGCACTCTTTTTTCTATTCATTCCTAGTACTTTGACCAATAAATAAACAGGTTGCTAGAACATATTCAATTCTATTGTAGCCCCTTAGGCTATACATCATGGCCTAGAAGGTGGGATAGGGCTATTTGTCCTTACGCATCATCGTGCGTGGTTCTACGCATGGAATATATATCTTTACATATCGATGCACAGCACCACTAATTCTCAAGCTAGTTTAAATTTGAATTATAGTTAAAAAGCTTAGGGTTTCAAGATTACTAGATAAATTTAATATTTAGTATAATACCCCTTTGCTTTCAACATTGCCTTGCAACGTCTATCTATACTCAAAATCAACCTATCTATCTTGTCCTATGGAATAGTATCCCAAACCACAACTATACACTCCTTAAACACCCCCCAATCCTTCTTAGAGCGGCCTATGCGTATCAGCTCGGGATATAGCTTAAATATCTTGAGTTTCAACCACAGCCATACCGGTTCAATCGGGTTTGAATCAGGCGAGTGTATAGGCTACTCCTCGATGTATACATTGTGTGTTTTAACCTATTCCTATACAATATTCGCTGCCACCTCATCATCCATGAATCCTAACAACACCCTCTAATCCATGAAATCCACAACCATTAAAGCAAACCTACTTAGCCTCAGCCTCTTCTCCTCCCAAAACCCACCACCACCACCCTTATGCCCATCAAGCTTCCACAAACTAACGAGAAAAGTAGATCTCGATAAATATAGATAAATGTAAAGATAACCGAAATGATCTTCTTGTAATCGTTTTTTGTGATATTTAAATGCAGTGTCTGCAAGCCACGAAATATATTTACTCTTCAATTGGGTTGTTTTTCTTGCTTGGTATATCATACTAGGGTAATATCCACGGAGAGACGATTTAGCAATCAAAAGTAAGACTTCCATTCTGTGTCATAATGATAATATCAAATAAGGGTTCAGATACTACTAGTAAATATCCCAAGAAAGCTTCACGTAAAAAAAAAAAAGATGACAGACGTAACATCTCATATGGAGTGTCTCAAGTCACAGACGGACATTCCTTCGTCCAATTCTCAGCGTACGACTCATCCAATTTAGCACGCCCCATTTTCCTTTTTCTCTAAAAAACCATTCTCGTTAGAGCGGGATTTTGGAGCAATGGAGTTCCGTCTGGTTCCATTCGAAGGCATGCGACCGATCGTGGGACTATTTGGCTTTCTATTGATCTCCTTCTCTGCTTGGATGCATAGTGGATGAGATTTCGTTAGTTGAGTGACAAAAGTCAAAGGATGTCGTCCGTCATCTTTGACCTGAGATATGCGCGGAAAGATGGTCAGAAGAGTATCACTGGCAATGCCGTGGGCCGTGGTGTTCTTCTCGTTATTCTCGCCGGGGAGATTGAAAATGGCCCATTCATTGTCATTCCAGTCAAGTGGATCGAAATCGGACTCATACTTTTGTTGAGAACGTTGTATAGGTAGCCAAATATCAATCGCCTTCTGCACGGTGCTTGCTACACTTTGTCGAAACTCATTATACTGTGTTTCCGATAGCAAGTCGCGTACGCAGCTTGACACTTTGTGAACCACAGATTGAATTCTGAGCTGAAGTGTCTCTTGCTGACTCTGTTGATCAATTGAAAGAAGCATTGATCGACAGAAAGATTCTTTTGCACCATCAGTCTGGGCAAGGTGGCTCATGATATCCCGCAATTGAGCATCTTCTGGAACGAGATAATTTGGTTGAAAGATATGTTCATCAATCTCCTTTGATAAGATACTCAGAATCACAGCAAGACGCATTCCTTTGGCTGCGACACTGTTCGAAAGGGGCATAGGAACATGCCGAATCGACATGTCGCCCTTTAGAAGGCCCCCCAATGATGTTTTATTCTAAAATGTATTAGCGGAGGCCTGTGAGAAATCATATGCCATACTAACACTTAGAGCTGCGCTATCAATGTTTTCCATCATGATACGATGAATTTGATCGGTAGCGTAATCCCAAAGACTTGAGAATCCGTCGACCCTAGAATAGTCTGTTAGTAACATAATTTACAAATAATCAGCAGGTTAGGACTAACATGGAGTCTTCATCCATTTGGTGGCCACATAAGCCATAGCCCTCCAGCTTCTGAAGCTGGATTTGAGACTCTTGTGAGGTGCTTCTCAAAGAAGAAAGCTCGGTTTCTAGCTCCTCATTTTTCTTCTTCTTCGACGATAATGAGTTGGTCAAAGAAGATTTAGCGGATCGGAGGTCCTTGATGATGGCATCCCTCTCTTCGAGTTTCTTCTGTAGCGAGATAATAAATTCAGAAAGTCCATTGACTTTGTCTTTCGCACTGAGAAGCTCCAATTGAACCTTCTCCTTTTCTTCCTCAATATTCTTGATCTTTTGAGTTGATTCTGCGAGATTGCTGTCTTTTTTTGCCATAGATTCATGGAGTGATTCGATCTTCACTTCGGCGGCTTCTAATTTGCCCTTCTCCGTTTGCATTCCAATATACCATTGATTCATCGCAATGTTTCGGTCTTTCTCTTGCTCTTCAAGTTTCTTGCGAACTTCTAACAGCTCATTTTGCTTTGTATTGATCTGCTCTCGTTGGTTTCTAATCTCATGGATTATAGTAGACGCGATTTCCATATCAGAGCTGGAAGCAAAAATGCATAATTGCTTCACGGTGCTTTCAAAAATCTCGCGGGTGATTCGTGGTGCAGTGGCACCTTGTGTCGGTGTGTGTAGAACTTTGGTTTCCGTTGACATTTCGAATGGATAGAAAAAAAACTTGATTGAATAAGAGGTGAGTCTTGGTGAGTCTTGGTGAGTCTTGAGTTTTTTTTTTTTGGAGGTAAACACTCCGAATTTATAATTCATATTGGCCGACAGGCTGATTGATCCCAAGTGCAATCGTTGTTTTCTGTTGGTTACTCTCCAATTTTCACGCTCATGGGTATCATTTCCAATCATAAAATGAAGCTACCAAACGACAAGGTAAGGCGCACGGTTCATGGTTCCCCTTATTCAAATCCTCAACTCTAGACTTCCCCAACCAGAGATTGATTTAAATTCCAGTCTCGTTTATGCAAGATACAAGGGTTCTCTGTAACGTGTCATGGGCTGTGGTGCTGCCCGCACTTTGCGGGAAAAGCCGAATTTCTGTGATGCGAACCATATCACATATACTACGTGCATACAGCCAGTCGCAAATTAACCATGAGATTTTCGCCTCAGCAGGGCGGCTTACGCTTTGCCTGTTCGAGCCCCCTCCTAATATACAAACGCCTTTTCTGTAAAACAACACAACAGTACCCTTGTTCCAGAGTGATATCAATAAGAGGCTGCAGCCACAGTGACGTGGCGGGTAGTTGAAAGTACTAATTTTTCTAGCCTTTCAATTTTCATCGTTTTTTTAATATGAAATAGTAGTTTATATCGCATAGGGCGCTAAGAGTATTGATTGGTACTTCATATCGCCCCACGCGATCGACGGATATCTCTATCAAGCCTGCCTCGGCGCTTAGCAACTTAAGAACAACCTTTAATTAGCACCAAAGCGAAGAAAATAATATGCCTACTTACACAGAGTATAAACTACAGATAACCAGATTTACATAGCAATAAGTCTGTGAAAACAAATCTCCTAAACAAAATCCATTTGTACTAGAACGGCCGAAAATGGGACCCTCTTGACACTAAGAATGGCGGCTGCACCACAATCTTTCGCATGCACCTGCCCGGGCGCAACTACTAACCATACCCTGTAAAGGACATCGTAACGATGGCACCCTTCTCCCCTGCTGCCTAGGTGTATTCCGTCTTCTATGACCTTCCCCTCAATTCCTAGGCGGATCAGTCAATCACTTCCGCAAAGGTCTCCTGTCTTTTGTAGCACCAAAAAATGGCGATCTATTCTCTAGCTCTGAGGATTCTTTTATTGCAAAATACGCCTATGGTCTAACGCTCCATTAGCTACCAAGTTTTTCTTCTTTTGCTCTACCGGCAAAAAACCAAATACTTGTGTTCTGCGTCAATGTGAGAGAAACATTTTGCAATCTTCCATTTACTACGGCAACAACCCCCAATAGCGTAAGTGATGCGCCAACGCATACACGCACCAAGGGGCCCAAGCGCTCATTTTGTTTTAAAAAATAGAGTAGAAAACCTGAATGTTTGCATCTGTTAGCGTATACGTGCAACAAATCAATAAGACATCACAAGACATAAGTGATTTAGTACGCAAATATTCAGGGTCGATGTCAGATAGAGCGGGGTTTTGTTTCTCAGAAACTACTATGTAGATACTGCCTTGAAATTTATAGGGGGCTCCAATCTAAACTATTTAGAATCTATCGAATTGCTAGACTCAATATAGCATTCACTGAAGGGTAATTAGGCAGAGAGCAGATTTACCTGGTGTAAATTTTGCACTCTATCGAGTGGATCCCTTGCCAATATAGATATATTGATGTCAGGGTTTACGCATTTCTTGTCCCTGTGAAAACAATATTCAATCTGCTGGTACCCAAAAATGCATGGATCTTTGCCGAGATCCTACGTGGTATTCCTTGAGTGGTCAGGCAGATAACAGCAATCATGAGGGCGCCAATGAAGCCAGTAAACGCACGCCTGAGGGGAAAATGGCCACGATTGAATGCCCTATTATGGTAAACCTCTAGACCCTTGTTTACTTTTTCCGGTGTTCTATCTCTACGCTCTACCCCTCTCTTGTATTTTCTTTTGTCCACCCTCACAACGAGGTTTGTCTATTTGCGGTGGTTTTGCTTAAATACTTGACCTCCCTTGGAAAAAAACCCCAACTATCGGAATTTTCAAATATTTTTTCTTATAAATCTACGCGCTTTCTTCTGACCTTTTGGCGATCTTCAACACGCATACTGAAATCCATTCTTTGCCCAAAGAACATTTTTTACCCTCTCATCCTGCTAGGTGCTCTCAATGCCACCAAGGATGGGTTCAACCAGAAGGAAGAAGCCCGTGGCGAAATGGTCTATGTACGAAGCTCTTCACGATGATGTGTCGACGTTGTTGGATGAGACAGAGCTTCATTTTGAATTCCACAAGAATGATGATGACACGGGAAGCATCAAAATGCGTGATACACACATCATGGGCCGCTTCGTGTGCCGTAAACAAGCATGCAAATCCGGCGGATGGTCAAGTAAGAGGATCGCTATCACAATTCGCCTATACCCAGGGCAAAAATATAACGCGAGGGTATACCACCAACGCTGCATAAGTTGCAATTCCATCAGTCGACCAGTGCTGGACCAATCATACGCCGAGAGACTTGTTTACTGGATAAAACAATGGAATGGAGTCCAGGTAGAGAGGCCTCCAAGATCCGGAAACAGCAGACGTCCTCATAACAGTCAACTTTGTGAAGGCTGCAAAGCTGGACACTGTTCCCAATCCAGGGAAGAGGATTTCATAATGCAATTTGAAAGGTTTGTCGATTTCCAATCAAGCAAAGTTATTCAATAACCGTATTGACATGTGCTCGCTCAGATTGAATCTCTAAAGAAACCCACGTTCTATAAGTGTGATCAAAAATTGAAAATCACGGTGGAGGAAACCATTCCGCTATGTTCATAAGCCTATCTGCACAGAGTGGAAAAGAGAGTGATTGGTGGAACGGCTAAAGTGCTTAGTTCAATTACTTAGCGTCATATATATCTGCTGTACCCTACTTTGTTGTTCAGCCAGATTTCTGTCGTAGAAGACAGCTGGAGCTGAGGTCTAATCCTGTTGCAAAATAATTTATTCTTATATGTCGACGGAAAAAAAAGGGCGGAAGAAGGCTCAATCTGTGCAAACAACCTAGATACATACTATACATGAGAAAAAAAAAAATGAATAGAGTAATATACTAAATTAAATAGCTGGATATGTGGTATCGACGTCTCCCGCTGAAGCGTCTGGCAGTTGGCCAAGCAAAGCATTGGGAAAAGGATTGTGGCTCATCGCATGTTCACCAAATACTGAAAGATTCAGTCGCAGTTGAGGATCAAGATTTGAGCCCATGAGAGCCGACCGCGTCTGAGGACTCCAAGCGTCCTGTACGTCCAGCATCACTTCCGGGCCGTAAGAAACATCTTGGGCTGGGAATGCTGGAAGCCAGAGATCCTCGTCTGTGACCGTACTCATATTATTTCCCCATTCGTAAACAGGGCAGTCCGTGGCCATATTACTTGAGACCCTGTCGCGTTCTGTAGTTTGGGGTATATTGTTTGTAGGGCGTGTATGGTCAGGGCCCTTTGACTTTCTGCCTGGAAACAGCGAATCGAGTTGACTGGAGACCTGGCGGTCGAGAATCCTTTTGATCCGCGCATGAATTATCTCAATACTTCGATCCAGACCAGGCATAGCTGCGGCGGTACGCTGAAGGACATCAAGCAGAAACTTCAACTCTGTCCAAGCTGCCTGGTGTGATTGTGAAGACTGTGGTCCTTCCTCCGGTGTCTCTAGTTGATATACGGCAGTTGTAGCAGCCATATAAGTGCAGTAACTGTTCATGTATGTGATATGATGATATCCAAAGGTATGAATATACATTTTGAGAAGATCATATATCGCGGTTGTTGCACCTCGACATATCTTCCAACTCTCTCGGATTGCAGGAGAGTAAGGTACATCCCCGCCCGCAACATGCGGCCGATGAAGAAGAATCAGGGCATTGTGGTACATCAAATTGAGCGACGTGATATGTGGCGGTGGACTTAATTGGGGCATATCATTGCGTGGTATATGTAGGAATGATGGTAAGGAGGAGTGCCAATCCTGGAGCTCCTTTTTGATCTCCATAAACACAGCCATTCGGGGATCCGAGGAACTGTCCGAATGGCTGGCAGACTGCGAACTATAGAGTTCTAGCATGACCCGTGTCAGGATCTTGCAAAGTTTGCATAGCTCTGTGAAGCAAGACATGACATGGCCTGGTGTTGGAGGATATGGAGGAAGCTCTGCAGCCTTTGGGTCAGGTCCATAAAATGGTATCCACGGATCGTGGTCAGTAAAGTCGTCTAGAAACTGCAACGATACATTTTCAGCGCCCATCACAAAATTCGGCATTCTCCCTAGGTACAAGCTGATGTGTTTGTCCCAGGAGTATAAGCTCCAAAAGAGGCGTTTTCGTATCTCAATGTCCTCGGCTGAAAGTGAGGTGGAAAATTGTTGGAGTTTGTCGGGAGAAACGTGTAGCCCAAGGTCAATGGCCATACGGAATGCCATACCGGAGTATAGCCACGCAGAGGAAGACCGACCACACGCAACATCTTGAGCTGACTGTTGAAGTAATGCTTGTATTGTGGGAATGGCAGGAGGGTTCAAAGTTTCCATGGCCAGCAAGGCCTTTGCCTCTGCCATCAGACGGTCCGAAAGCTCTTGGAACGACTTGCTGTGGCTATTCTGGCTCCACACTATATCTGGTGACCGTACAAACCGACAACTGTGGGCATATAGCACCTTCATGAGGGTTGGCGAGCAATGTGTAGCAGATCGATCCCCACGGGCAAGTAGAGGCATATCCCTCGTGAAAGCGGGGCGGTAGACAAAAAGAAAACTCGGATGCAACCAACACCAGTGTAACTGTAGCAAAGTACCTGCAAGATCATTGGATAAATTTGACAATGACTGCGATGCATCCAAGTTCATGATCTCCAAGTCCTTCTGGGTAGCAGCATTGGCTACTAGTTCTTGTCTGATATCTGCTGCTCGGCGATTGTCTGTCGATGACGACAATAGAGACGCAACATGCAATGGCTGAGTACTCTTCGGTGGCAGATCTTCATGTATAGCAGATGTTTGGTTGTGATAGCCAACATCCCCCAGCGCATCCAGACTTATAGAGTCACCGCCCTGGTTGCTGAAAGTCGAACCTGCGAAGGACGGGCTGGATGGAGAGTTTGCCTGGGCGGTAACTTTGCGCTCCAGTTCACGAATGCGCGACTGCAACGAGCGCACGTAGGCCAGTGAAGGCGATTTATCATAGTGACAAGGCGAAGCACTGGTGACACAAGCGGAGCAGCTTGGGGTAGCCCCATCGTATTTGCTTTTCCGCCTCCTACAAGTCGAGCAAACGATTTTCTGATGTCGTACCATGGCTTCATGACATGATGAAAGCGGCGAAAATTTTCGCCAAATATAGTCAAGAAAAAGTGAAAAGAGAATATGGGGAGGTTAGGAGATTAGAATGGGAGAATTGCCGGGGGACTGGGAAAGTGTGGGGAACCCCCCCCACGCTTTCCCTTTCAGGACATCGGGAGCCTCTGGACTTGAAAGTCAGCATGGTTTGCTCTACTGAATTATCCTAAGCTAACTGCTAGGAATACATACATAAATCTTTCATCTGTAAAGAGCTACACGAGGAATCCATCATTGACCCCGTATGGCTCTTCCATGCTGCCAAGATTGGTTAAAAGTTAAAGCTAACATGGCGCTCCACGTGACCCGTATATAGTCCGGGGTCGAGTGTCTATATAATTTATAACTTGCGAGGTGTATTTAGCGCCCAATTATTTTCTCACGAGATCTCAGGACCTGGGGCAATCGGGGGAATTGGGAACACATTCGCTGAAGATCTACTTGATTCTAACATAACTAACCAACATACATATCTTCTCATAAAATAAACCTACTCTTCACCGCACTAAATTATCAAAATGACTAGAGCACATATCTGAAATCTTTGTTTTCAAACTCGGTCCGATCCTGCATTCCGGCTTCGTTACTTCTGGCCTTGTCGGCCGGACCGTAGCGTGAGTCACGACGGCGATTGACCGTATACATATAACCTACTCTGGTTAGTATATCAATACCCAGAAGAAGGGCAGGGAATTTTTACCGAGCAATGAGAGATGGCATCCTGCCTTAATTGCGTAACCGACCAGCAGACCAATCGTAGCGCCTTTATATTCCGGGGCCTCAGATGACTTTACCACGAATGGCCCTGCAAAATTACCCCAGCAATAGGCAGTGCTAAACAAGTCAGTTTAACCGAAGTATGCGAGCCTTAGACTCCGGGGAAACTTACAACACGAGAGCGTTCGCCATAGCCCTGTGAGTATAACCAGCCATGTTTGAAGAGATTGTAACCAATGAGACTGTGAAGCCGACAGATTGCGAATTCACCAGCCAAAAGCAAACGAGTCTCTGCCACTTTTGCTCCCTGGGAAGATACGCCATACACGCAGCAGCAACGGTGCATAGAATATTGGCAGCAGTGGAGGTGAGTAGTCGGGAGTTTGGCACATTCAACGTGATAGTGCCACCGATGATCAACGCGATGATAACAATTGCATCACCAACCGATTTCAACTGTGTGGTTCTCGTTTGGGAAAATCCCATGTCTTTGATGATGATTGTCGAAAAAGAGTTGACAACGCCATTTGGAATGGCAGCAGCAAACACTGAAATGAAGAGCAAGATCGCCTTTGGATCAGTGAACGCAATCATACCCTGCTTCGTATCAAAGGCTTTGTTCTTGATTCCGGTTTCGTTACCAGCGACTCGCTTGACTGCAATGATGCGCTCGGCCCTTGACAAGAAGAAGGCACTTGAGGGGGAATCAGGCAAAACAAAGAAGATCACAAACGCCCAGAGACAGGTGGCACCTCCGAGAATGTAGAATAACAGCTCCCAGCGTGCCGGACTGAAGTCGACTGGAAGTTTGGTAATACCTAAGGAAATATAGGATCCTACAATACCACCCCATCCAAGCGCCGAGTACCAAATACATTGACGGAAAGGAATTTCCTGTCGGGTATACCAAAATCCGGTCATGAGGGTTAAGCCAGGCGTGACAGCAGCTTCAAATATACCCATGATGAAACGAGCAGCCAAAGCACTGGAGAATGTGTGGCATTGAGTCATGATAATGACCATTAAACCCCACATCATGCAGCTCACTCCCAAGATGCGTTGCGCTGGGAACCTTCCAACGAGCCATCCACACGGGTATTGGCCAAAGAAGTAGCCGGCGTACACCACTGAAACTTATGAGTTTTTTTATTTCTTAACCCGAATATAGAAAGAAGAAACATACTTGCGGAAAGGTAATTGAACTGTTGGCCTTTTAAATGCAGCGTCTCTTGGTATCCGAGGAGGTTTGCATAGTTCAGGGCCGTCTTGTCCATGAACTGCAACGCTTGAGTGACGAGGAAGATAGGTAGTACGATGAAATCAATCTTCCATCTGACATTGGCATTCTGCAATTTTTAAATCAGAACTCAGTCGCAAGTCGCCTGGGAAAAGACTCACTCACCTCCTTTGCAGTGAACTCGAGGTGCAACCCTTCTCGGTATTCCTTGTACCCGACAGCATTTCCCTAAAGAAGAGTCAAATAAACATTCATGAACATCCTCAAGTTAACAGGCATACCTCGTAGACTGAATTCGCCTTTTCCTCTTCAATATCGTCTTGAAGAGCAGAGGTCGCCTCCTCAATATGCATATGGTCGGATCTTCCCTGCTTTGGTGACATGACAAAGGGTGCAAGATAGTATTGCAGACCAAAAAAATGGGTTGCATCGAGACTTTTATCCAAATTATCTACCTGGAACCCCTAGGACTGATAGTCCCAACATGACTACAGGTGGAGTTTCGGGGATTGCGGGGGCCAATCCCCAGAAACCGGGCAACTTCCGTGGCCACCTCGATTGCGGCGAATGCCCGCTGGATTTTACTGGTGATTCTTAATTTCATGGAAAATCAAGACTGGGGTTAGTATGATCGGCAATTGTCCATGGTATTCATAAATCTAGAAGGGCTGGTACCTCAACTTCGTCGTCTCTTTTTCTTGTCCTATCTATCTTTCCACAATGCCACCATCCAGTGACATAGATCAAAGCAACAACTGGTTGGCCCAGCCATCAGGATCTTGCTGTCTCAAGGGAACCCTTCATGAAGGAACTTCGCGTGGGCATTTTGTGACGGTTGCGGGAGTAGAAACATACATCGTGGAGCCTAAGAAGAGCAACACAAATGGCCACATTCTACTATACTTTCCTGATGTATGGGGAATGTTCCCGAACGGTCTCCTGGTGATGGATGCATTTGCCGATTCTGGCTATCTCGTTCTAGGACTGGACTACTTTAGAGGTGTATGTCTTTCTTAGCTTTTAACTCTGTTTTTCTCGACCACGCTAATTGATTGTAGGATCCGGTTTGGAAACATCGTCATAACCGCCATGACCGTTCAAATCCGCACTTTGATTATGAGGCTTGGAAGCGAAAACATATGTCATTTGCGGATGAAGCAACCCCACGGTGGGTTGACGAAGTGAAGAGGACATATGGCCAGGCATCTACAAAGTATGCGTGTGTTGGGTACGTGTTTTACCTGCCTTTGTCAATCGGTATGAAGCCTCGAACTGAGAACTGTGAATTAGATATTGTTTTGGTGCACCATACGTCTGCGATGAGCTGGCTAAGAACACCGTCAGCGCCGGTGCATTCGCCCACCCGGCGTTTTTGAAAGATTCCCATTTTTCAAAGATCACCAGTTCGTTTACCTTTATTCGATTTCACTCATGTTGAACAAATGACTAAAATATCTCAATAGAGCCTCTATTACTATCCTGTTCCGTGGAAGATCACACATTCCCTCTAGAAGCTAGACAACTCGCTTTAGATATTCTGGAGTCAGGCCAAAAGACCTACCAATTTCAGCTTTTCTCTGGTGTTGAGCATGGATTTGCTCTGCGAGGCAATATGAAAAATCCCTACGAGCGTGCGTTATCACTCTAATACAGAATTGAAGTTGAAAGCTGACAGTTCCTAGGATACGTGAAGGAGCAGAGTCTGAAGGCAATTGTAGAATGGTTTGACTTTTGGTTATCACAGTAACTGCGATATAATTACCTCGTAAATAGAAGATTACTAGTTATATAGTGGACCATTATTTGAATAACCGAATGATCCCCTGGTATTTCATCCTTTGTTCCCGTCTTCTGGATCCCTCCACATACAAAACTAGCTACCTCAAGGTTATAGTAAAATTGGCTAATGATCTTACCGGCGACTAAAACCTTTATGGTCGTTGTGGATAGAACAGCCCCAGTCTCCAATCCGAGGGAATCTTGGAACTACCCGCCCAAGAAGCAAATCCCGGAGATCCCGTTGTGAGACCAATTTGCCTTTTAGCAATTCCCCATGGGGTCCAAACCTATCTTTTTGTGGGTTCTCTGAATTTGGCTCTTTCACAGTTGGGGTCGGGGAATCGGCGGATGGCCGAAGGGGTAACCCGACAAGGACCGGAAGATGGCCGCATATAGTTGCATCCGAATTCTAGGGATGAATAGGTGTTTATAAAAAGCACGTTACGAGGAACTTTATCCATTTGGAGACTCCGAAGACTATTGTATAACAAACACTTTCAACATGGTCGCTAAAGCTTTCGAATTCACTGGCGAGGTTGCCATTGTCACCGGTGCTGGGTCACGTATGCCTGGTAAGTTTGATTCAATTCTTTTACCTTATTATGCAAGACATTACTGACAGATATTAGGCGAGATTGGCAATGGGCGTGCGGCTGCTATCCTACTCGCCAGACAAGGCGCCAAGGTCGCGCTAGTGGACTATAATGTTGAATGGGCCCAGGAGACAAAACGCATGATTGACCTTGAGGGTGGTGTATCAGAAGTCGTACAGGCTGATGTAACTGATGAGGAAAGCTGCAAGAATGCCGTGGCCAAGACCATTGAGCTATTTGGCACTGTGAACATTTTAGTCAACATTGGCGAGTTTCCATTCAACGTTATATATAGTACGAAACTAATGTTTAACCTGTATAGTTGGAGTTGGTGGTGCTATGGGGGATGCTACCAAGGTTGATCTTGCAGCTTGGGAACGCGATTTCAAAATCAATGTCACAAGCATGGTGTTGATGAGTCGTCATGCTATTCCTGAGATGAGGAAGACTGGGCGAGGTGCCATTGTCAATATGTCCTCAGTGAGCGGTCGTAAGTAACTATTACTCCCCAGGCACTTGAATATATTTAACACAGTATACAGTCCTTGGTGGAAATCCCAGTCTCTTATACCCCACAACCAAGGGTGCCATTATCCAAATGACCCGTGCTATGGCTGCTCAACATGGCCAAGAAAATATTAGGGTTAACTGTGTTTGCCCGGGAATGGTCTTCACCCCAATGGTACGAGGCAGAGGCATGACGGATAAGATGCGCCAGGATCGTATCAACCAGAACCTTTTGAAGCAGGAAGGTACAGGGTGGGATGTTGGTTATGGTACGAAGTTATCACATGAAATCTTTTTAAAAGCAGGGTTTTCTGACCTTGGGTTTACAGCAATCCTGTTTCTCTGCAGCAAGGAAGCTAAATGGATCACCGGCTTGATTATGCCTGTGGATGGTGGTGTAAGTTATTCCCTTTTCTAAGAGCCGAGTGGACTCACTCTAACTTCTTCCTTAGACCACTGCAGGAAAGGCAGACAGACCAGCTTTGAAGGCTGATACCCTCGCCGAGGAGAACACGAAAATTTCCAATAATGCTTAAGTATTCTAGCCTTCAGTGAAATAAACTTAGCACAAGCTTCATAACATGGGTTTTGTTCCGGCAACTGAGTGTGAGATGAGTAGTGAACCTCGTAATACTTTCTGACAATTAATTTGCTTCGCCTGAAATACGAGTGTCTGTCCCTTAGCTCAACATGTTAACACCTCGGGTCATAATATATCCCTCCTTTGATGAGTCAACTACTTGCCTATCCATAATGGATCCATCTATCCATATAGGGAGGTGGATATGACTATGATAAAGGTTATAAATGACACCTGCTATATACATGCATTACATGAAATTTCAATGGAATCGTCGATGCGTTCAAGCCCTGACCAGATCTCAGATAAGATTCGCGAGGTCCTCGACACTCGTCATCTCACGAGAATTCATTTCTCCAACATCCAGCGCCACCAGAATCCGACTAACACAGTTGTAACCAGCAACCGTGGCAGTAAGTTCCACAATCTCCCGGTCTGACAGTTCTACTTCGACAAGTTGCTGGAACACATCATCAGATACAGTCACTGATTCCGTCATAGCATCTGTATATGCAAGGACAGCTTTTTGCCGAGCCGTGAGACATGACTTCTCCCATACATCGGAACTTTCGTGAGTTGCTTGGCATAATGGTGGAAGTGAACGCGTATCCTGCAGCGTGGATACCTGAAGTCCAGCTTTCAAAGCAAGCGGTGCGTGGATATTCCACTCGTACACAGCATGGTTCAAAACAGCTATGCGACAGATGGACAGTTCCAACAAAGCTGGATCAAGGATGGTCTTTGAGCGTAGTGATCCAATAAAACTGTTGTAGCCATCTGCGACAGGAGGAGCATGCAAGAGTGTGAGATCAAGAGGAATCAATGGTCTTGGTGTACGCCTGGCGGCGATTCGACTGTAGATTTCATGCGTTTCGGGATTTGAATCTTTTGACGTCTGGGGGGCATAGGGGAGACGCATGTTGATGTGGAGAGATGGAATATTAAGAATTGGATGTGAGACTGTTCAGAGAAGTTGATAACACACTGAAGCGGTTTATGTGGCTATAATGGATGATCCAACTACCTGTAGAATTTGATATTACTGCGCTCTACCGCGTAGCCGACAAATACTTTTTAATTTATCGTGAAGCTTTCCGTATAACCCGTTACGTTCATTGCGGCCATTTCCCGACTATTGAAATACTGGAAGGATGAATTCTGACCGGCGGAGAATGGCCGGGCGGCGAATGTCCGAATGGTCGACCAGGACGGCCTGAAGCTCTATCAGAAATACAAGCCATGGAATATTGCAAAGATTATAGAACTACCTATTCAGATGTTCTTTTAGTGTTGAATGCCTAGGGCATTACCATGTGATAGAACCTTCATGATTGATAGCTCTCTTTTCTTTTCTCTTTTCCTCTTCCCTCCTCTCCTCGTGCGACACAATACATACTGTGTTTTCTCCATCTGTATCCTGTGTCACATCTCTATCACCTAAGCATCACCTCTCAGGAAGTCAAGGTCTTCAATCTTTTGTCAATTCCTCAGTGATAGATCATGGAATCCGCACAGCGCAAGAGAGCACGGAATGCGTGTCAAAGATGTCAAGCGCGAAAGGAAAAATGTACAGCAGATTCGCAAATCCCTTGCCACAGCTGTTTGGCAGTAGGAACACCATGTTTCGTGGTAAAGCGAAAGCATCGAGTGTCACAAGCAGAGTGTAGGTAAGGCTGACCCGAGACTGGCTTGAAAGAGATGGCCACTAAAGCTCATACAGCGGTTTACCTTTACGGGACTCTTCCGTTGCAGCTAAGCGCGGAGCCTTAAGAACACGAGACAAAAGACCGAATAGACACACAAAGAGCCCAGTACAAAAATGCGAAGCAAATCTCTTACCGGAACAACCTACATCGCCGACACACATGAGCCGGGCATCATACAACAACTGGGAAACACATGCAGATACGCTACATTGCTGTACAGGATCTCCATCTCCCAAGCCGCCAGCAGCAGAAGGAAAACAAGATGCAAGAGCTGGTTTTATCGCACGCAATCAACATGATTCGGCTTCATTTGCTGCCAATATCCGACTATCCTCCTGGCTGATGATTTGTCCAATACCATACCAAGACAATATAAGAGAGGAATTAACGTCTGTCATGTCGGGAAGGGAAGCCACATCAGAGGTATTGCCGTCTCTCATACTACAATCTCTTGATGCAATCCGCATGCGAGTGAAAGACCTGCATCCAACCCTTGCTGATGGGTGTCGTTGTCCACACCATGATTGTTGTCCTTGCTGTACGAAGTGTGCCAGTTACACAGCTCACACACAATGCCAAAACGCTTTGAGGTCAAAGGAAAAGCAACAGGCAAGCTTGTTAGCAAGGTGTGAAAGGGTATTAGAACTCTCTCTAGGTTTATATGATACAGTAAAGAAGGGAGCCATCTGTGATTATGTTCCGGGGTCATTTTCTATTCATGCGAATGCCTCTGTTCCAGGTCTACACACAATGGGCACTAACAACACTAACACGCCGATTGATGCGTGTGAGGGTTTCCCGGATACCTTCCCATCAAAGTGCATACAACCTGGTCAGCTAGTGGGCCAAACCTCAATACACAGAGACGAAATCTCAGGAGAGGGCCCATTGGACACACTTCTAGCTAGCGTACAATGGACAGGGCAATGATGGTTAATCATAGTGATTTTATAAGCAAAGCTAGAAGTTGGAAATCATATGATTTCCGTGTGTACAGACATTATTCTGGTATGACTTCGCTATTGTGGCTGAGGGCAAATCTACGTATACCTAATTTGTACAATGTTCGATTTGGTGGATTGTGTATTTAGCAAAATTGATCGTAGAGCGCCATCTGTTAAGCGCGAGTCAATATTTCATGTCACCTCGTATGACAGGTGTAGTCGTTGCTTCTGTTTGAGAGTTCGAATATCTTACGATCTTAAGCTGGCGCATTGTGGGATACATAATCTTTCAATAATTTCAAAATAGTAAATAGATAGATTCCATACACGAGCTAATCATATGTGGTTTAGGAAAGCTAGCAAGTACATTAGGCTTAATCACATAGAATCACTCAGATTGTAACATAAAAAATGTGTTGTCCCCCGATCATTTCTTGAACGTTCGCAAGATTTGTGCAACATCCGTAGAGTTGGCAATCTGAGAGAACCCAGTGAAAGCCTTCTGAGCCCGTTCCATACCAATGTGATTACTGACATGCTCGAGGAATTTCTCCTTAAGCTGCTTCGCCGACAGTGGTTTCTTGATGCTGCCCAAAGCCTCCTTTACATGAACTTCCAGTTTAGTACCGTCTTTGAACTCAGCACTGACAAAAGCCTCGTGATCGCTGATAGCATCATCTGAAGTGACCGTCACCTTCCCACGAAGATCTACAACAGTGGAGTTCTTGACAGCTTCATCAGTGAACTGGACCGGAGTCGCTTCCCCAAAGAGCAAAGACACAGCAGCGGCATGATAAACACTGAACTTTCCATCGAGACCAGTCTTTGGCTCGGGGTTGTCTGTCAAAAACAGCACCTTGGGGTTGGTGCGGGCCGTAACATTCACGATGCTGGTAAGGTCAAGCTTCTTCTCTACTGCCTGGTCATGGATCTGGATCCAACCATCGATGGCAGCGTGAATAATCCGGTCGCAGGGGAAAGGCTTGAATGTATTCTTCGTCACTTCCCAAACATCATCAAGTGTGGTGAATTCCTTTGTGACGTTGTTGCGAGTGCTCACAACATTAGCCCAGCCTCGCTCTGCCTCCAGTCCCTCCAGCGACCCGCCAAACCCATTTTGGGCGAGCACCGCTGCCAAAAGTCCGGACTGCGCAGCACGGCCGACATGGAATGGCTTTGTGTCGGTGCCGAAGGACTCATGCATTCCAATAACTTGGACAGCGGCGATGCTGATTGCGTGCTGGAGTTTCTCCACGTCAAGGCCTAGGAGTTTACCAACAGCAACTGCCGCGCCCACTGAGCCGGTGGTACTGGTGATGTCTGGAAGAGATGTTAGCATTGGATACTTTTACTAACATGCCTAAGAGGTAATCACTTACGCCATCCAATATCATAATGCTCAGGATAGACAGAAATCCCAAGCTTGCACTCAGCCTCCACTCCAGCAACAAAGGCTGTAAGGAAGTCTTCACCGGAGATTGGAGCCTTCCATTCCGCAACTGCCAGCAGAGCAGACAACACAGGGCCGGATGGGTGTACAGGTGTATCAGAGTGCGTATCGTCGTAGTCATCGACGTGCGAGGCTATACCGTTGACCAGAGCTGCTGTCTGGATATCGGCGAAGGCATTAGACCCCAGAATAGAGGAATTACCTGTGCTTTCTGGCATCATTGACGTTACGGCATCATATGCAACTCCGGCCGGGGGAAGGGCATATCCGCCGATGGCACACCCAGCCCAGTTGTAGATACTCTTGACTGCCATGTCAGTCACAGGCCGAGTAAGGTTCGTAAACTGAAGGGCCAGGGCCCATGTGGCTAGATACTTTGTCGCCATGTTGATAGTTCTCTCGATTAGATCAATGTTTGGAGGTATAGCTTATAGTCGGCCATGGCCCTGCCATTTATACCCAACTGCATCATATAGAGGGATGGCAGACCTATATTTTGTAAAATCGCGCGAATATCGCTATTTCCCATCCCTATGTCAAAACCGGCAGTTTGCCGACATGGTTCACAGCGCCGGGAATGTATCCATGACTGGGGGTCGACTTGTTTGGGGATTGGGCTGAGCCAAGTTCGCGGGGAAAGTGTGGGGACTGTAGATCCCCTCGTTTTGGAAAGATCTGAAATAGGTTTCGAATAGGGGGCAAAAATACTAACGGAAACATGCCGGTACAAGAAATATCTATTGAGTGATACTCGCGGGCAGATGCCGAAAAGTGAACTAGCGAGGTAGTAAACATCCTTCCCGATTCTTTACGGTGTTAGTTTCTAGCGCAAGGTGTAATGAGCCTTCTTTTTCGAACGGCTCAACAATGAGAAGTACCTAAAGCAGTACAAACATATCAGAGTAGGGATTATGCAGTTTCGTACCCTCTCTCGTAAATCAATTGACGCCCTCGGGATGAAGTACTATCGATGACTCAATACGTTTGGATATTCCCTTAAAGTGCAGCAAGTATATCATTTAACAGGGGTATGAGAGAAAAACCATCTGTTGGAAGACGTTCTTAATTATAATTACTTTATGCTGGCCACTACTTCTGCATTTGATCAAGGGAAAGAAAGGGCTAAGTTCTGAGATTTCTTTACAAAACAAAGTTGATATCCATTCACTTCACGATAACCTATCTCAAGTAGTTAGAGTCTAGTAGACTCAAATTGCGACTCTAGCTCAACCAAGTAGCCTCATACGGTGATGCGTTGTCCGGATATTGAAGCGATGCAACGAGGTCCAAAGTCTGGTTGGAAGGAGTCCAACCCAAAATGAACATCCAACCCTCAGACGTGTCACTGAGGTACATGTAGTCCGTCAAACCGTCGGGATCACAGTTCGTCTCGTCCTCCCAGGGTGCAACGCGAAGACCACCCGCAGATCCGAGAGTCACGGGCGCTTCATAAAAGGTGACAGCATCTTCCTTTGTGAGGTATCCATCATCATCCACCTCAAAGACAGCAGCGTATCCGTTTGCCTCGGGGGATTCCCAGCTGCGGGTAGAGGCGAAGAGATACTTGCCATCTCTAGAGGGTTGGACAGTATTACTGCGGAATGTGTAGTGTCCTCGGACATCTGTTGTTTCTTGAGTCAAATGCAAGCGCTTTTTTCGTTTGGGATCTCGAGATAATTTTACCTTTAGGAATCACACTGGCACGCTGTACATGCTTAAGTTGAGTTTCACCGACTTCGTAGACATCAAGCCATTGAGCTGGTTATAAAGTTGTCAGCCTGAGAACGCTCAAATCACGAGAGGATAAACCACGCACTATGTTCTGTAATCTGTGATAAACCATATTAGTTGATTTATTCAGCCGGAACTTCAGATATTCAACCACGTACCACGTAGAGAAGCTTCCCATCCTCTCTAGAGTATGAGTTACGAGGACCATCATCCTCTGTTGGGCTCAGGTTGATGGACAGAAGCTGGGCAGTGCCGTTGTCGGCAATATCGTACATGTAGATGGAGTTCATGCCGCTATTGAGAGTCAGCAAATGCCAGCCATGTGTCAGGGTTTCTAATTGACTAACAGGTGAGGAACAAAGCCCTTGTTGTTGACGTTGATATCGAAAGCATGAGCACCGTGTAACTAGATTCATGAAATCAGAACGAAACAGAAATCGTAATTAACAGTCGGATGTGCATATTCACTTACGACAGCATTTCGAGTCTTATCCACACTGTCAATATCCTCGACAGGAATAAGATAGAGCTCGTCAGTTCTATCTCCAATGACCCCATTGCCACTTAGAGAATGGATCTGCGCAGTTGGGCCACCAGCGGAGAATGAATACTGGCCATCATCGGAGATGTAACAGGCCGAGGATGCTATGAATCTTAGAAATCTCATCTCAAACAGCTGCAGGTATAAACTTACTGACGTTGTTGGTGCTCAGGTGGGTGAACTGAAAGTTGTCATCGACACCCCAGGTGAACAACCGCGGGGGCTCACTCATAGTGGTTGCGTAAACCCGGTCTTTGGCCTCATTACTGGTCACGAATTGGTGCAAACCAAAGCCAGGAACGGTCGAATTAAGACTCAGAGTTCGGGATATAGTATCAAACGCAAGGAGAAACAGCGTGCTGTTGGTATAGGAGCCCGTCAGAAGGTGGTGGAGTTGCATTGTGCTAAGAATGGACGATCTCAGAAGTACAGTAACGTGTAAGATATTTCAGGGAAGAACAGAAGAATATCGGACTTAAGTGTAAATGGTCGGTAGGAAGGCTTCAGAATTTACTACAGTACAATCAACGCACTAGCTTCTTAGTATATTGGCTCCACCCCTGCGCGGTTTCTCCGGACCCCACGGGGAACTCTACCCCGGGATTAAGGTTGTGTGATTTGTCTGGGGGAAAGGCTTGAGCGCAGCAATTGCCCGTTCACATTTGCAATGGGCCAAAATGTGGTGCTTAACAGCCGGACATCCTCCGGATGCCTATGTGTATTGTTTGTTTGACTTTGCTGCGGAAACCTGGAAAGTGCCACACTCCTGTAGATTGCCGCACAGCTGATTAAAGAATTTTCAATACTAGGCAACCGACCTCGGGCATTGGCCAGTCGAGTATAGATGGTCTCGTTGCGCACACGGGTATTGGGGTAGGTGTTGAGCCCTTCGGGATTTGCCCGAGGGCTACCACAAGAGCACAGGCTCAAGGTTTCCGTGGCCAGCTCCGGTGCTTGGTCGGTTCGTGTTCCTTGCTAGTAGTCTCTCAAGTTTGGTCTGACTTGTGCGATACGTATCTGTAATTGCGTTGTCACAACGGGTGCAAAATCTTTCCACTAAGGTATTTGCGTGTTGAAGAAACCCTGTTCAAATTTTGCCTAATATAGTCAAAATACGATCATCCCTTACATGGCTCTCTCTTCATATATCGAAACACATATTGACCCCATTTCCCATCGTTATCTGGTGCCGGCGCTGGAGCATACTGGTCCAAGTCCACATCAAGTGTCCCAACAACCTTGAACCCATATTTTGCGTACATCTCCCATGCACTCGCCGATGAATGCACCCATATAAAAACTCCCGCTGCGTCTGCCGTCTGTGTGCCCCATTGCAAAAGCATCGATCCGACTCCTCTGGACTGCCATTTGGGTGCCACACAAAGAGAGCTGACATACATGCATTTAGTGCCATCGGGCATGAGCTTCGTCATCCAGGATTTCATGTCTGCGTCGGTCATTCTTTCGAGCTGCTTGATTGTATCGTTATCATCAATGTCTACTTGCTTGATTTGGTCTTTGGGAGTGGTCTTGTCCGTGGTTTGTGCCGGTGACGATGTGAATTGTGTTGCTGCATGTGGAACAGCGTCCCGTATCTCTGCGGTTTCTTTAACCGCGAACCCCCGAAAGGCCCACAAGACCCAGCCGGCGATGTCGCCTGTTTCGTTGTCTACTGCTTTGAGAAGAACAGTTCTTGGCGACACTGCTTGTTGGGAAAGATATGCTGTCATTGACTTTTCGAGGTTGTACGGGTCCTTTCCGAGTCCTTTCATTTGAGTGTGGCGATCATTTAGAAAGGAGTCCCTGGTTATTTTGGCGAGAATGGGGCCCTCTGCTGGGTAGGCTAGTTGAATAGAAAACTGTGCCGTTGCCATTTTGCTGATTTATAGACATAAAATGCCCGAGGGACAGTTCCAAGAATGTGGGGATAACCGAGCGAAGATGGTTCAAATAGAGAGGAAGGAATGGAGGGGAAGAACTAAAGAGGTCAATCAATTTAACTAGGATTGCGGGGTCTCGATGTAGTAAGCCGCCCTGAGCCAGCCCTAGGACATTTATTCACTAGAGGAGGGTGCTGCAATTTGCATACATTGTCAGAAATTGGAACTAGGGCAAGGTGTACGTCTGTTGCAGTATGAGAGTACAGGGGGCTCTGCGATACTACTATGTATCTGTATTATCAGCGGATAGTTCCATGTCCTAGGTATCCGTAAATTTACAAGTATTTATCTGATCGGCGACCATGGAATAAAAAAAGGAAGGTAGCTGGAACGTTAAGCAGTGTGAACAACATATATGGCATAAACAACATCTCATAGGATTCCAAAACATATCAATCACTTGTCTAAAGCTTCTCAAAGACCTCAACAGCAGCCTTAGCAGTAGAAGTCGCACTGGCGGGGTTCTGACCAGTAACAAGACGACCATCAACGACATGGAAGTCATCCCAGATACCAGTAGAGCGCTCATCTATCGAAAAAAGTCAGTAAACACCCAAAGATTCTCCAATTCGAAGAGTCAACTCACACTTAGCACCAAGACGAGCAGCAAGCTCCTCACAGAGCTCAACATTCCAACTCTTCAAATCACCAATAATACCCATAGTATCCTCAGCCTCGGTAGTAAACCCAGTAAGACGACGACCCTGGATAACAGGCTTTCCAGTCGCACGATCAAGAATATTGGCAAAGATAGCTGGACCATGGCAAACAGACGCAACAACACCACCACTGGCCCAGACCTGCTCAGCGACCTTCTGCAGCGAAGTCGCAGTCGGGTAATCGATCAGAGCGGCGTGGCCAGCGGAAGCATAGAAAAGGCCATACTGCGACACGTCGAGGTCGGCAGCTTTGGGCATATTGTCCAGCTTCTTGCGGAAGTCGCTGTTGACGTCATTCCAGATTGCCAGGTCGTCGCCGTTGAGGAAGTCGGGTGTTTGGGAGAGCCAGTCGGCGGTGTAGGTGCCTGTTTCAGAGGCGAGGTCGACTTCGAAGCCGGCAGCGACGAGGACGTTGTAGGGGTGTAGGGCTTCGGTGATGAAGAGTCCTGTTGTTTCTTTGTTCAGAGTGGCTTTGGCCGAGGTAATGGCGATGAGGGCTTTGCGAGCGGGAGTCATTTTGAAGGCTGGAATTTGAGAATTGAACTTGAGTTGCTTTAGGTTGATACTGATAATGATAATTCTGGAACCGGCAGATCATCTGGTATTTATATTCGTCGACTTGGAGGATTTGTATAGTGTCGCCTGGTCCGTGCGCATGAGCTCCGCAACTCCGCAACTCCACCCTCAGCAAAGCACTCCGCAACTCCGCCAATCTGTGATTAGTGGCTGTTTCAACAATTAGTGGAATGCCAGTTAGTCTGTAAGTCAAAAATTATAGTAGAGCTCCACATTCTGGCCCCAGAGCTATGTGGTCACCAATCTTGAGACTCCGCAACTCCGCACTATCGATGTTTTCAGCCTTGGAACTTCCATATTTATGATTTGTCCTTGTAGGATTGGTCATTATGTTTCCGACTAAAATGTCAGATTCTCAGATCTCCGAGTGGAATTGAAAATTCTCAGCTTCTGGCCAAAGCGCGTCCAGGTTGTTCCAGAAATCCACATCAACCGCCATGTCAAACAAACTCAAATCTGGCACAAGAACATTTGTGTATGAGCTTGAAGAAGCATCGAATGAGAGATCTTGCGGTATACTCATAGAATCATCCATAGAGATAGTTTGAACACCATTCAAAGGATCACGCTGGGACTGGTTATGCTGTGCCAGGAGATCAACCTTAGCACATAGATCTCGCATAATTTTGGCCGCATTAGCCGCAACAAAGAACTTGGCACCGAAGTTATCAAACACATCGATTGCAAGGCCGATTGCATTCCTGGCTTCGGTGGCCAATGGTGCTTCCGGATACACCATGACAAAGCCAATCAATGTCATAGCTGCATTCCATTGGCAGTGGAAGGCCTCATGCCACCCATCGAGAATGGAAGTTTCTACAAGAACTTGTTCCGTAATCTTCGATAGCATGATAGCATGGGAAGCACAGCGCATAGAGATCTCCTCCGCTCGAGATCCTAACGACGGCTTGGAAGAGAATGAGATCAGTGGCCGGTATAGATTGACGCTGAGATGGTGGTATGAGTGTTCCAGAAGAACGCGCTGCCGCTGGAGCCAGATCGGAGCGAACTGCTCTATTAACAGGCTTGTGCCATCTGTCGAAAGAGGCCTGCCGTTATTTTGACGCTTCAACTTTAGAGAGTCTGGTACGGTGTTGCTCCATTTTTCCAGGATCTGGATATGTGGAAACAGAACCTCCGCGCTGGCTTCGAGGACATGACGATCATCCCATATCGTCTGGCCATTCTGCAAGTGAAGTTCCTGATCATAGAAGCTCGTGTAGGCAGCTCGTGCTTTGATGTATAGCTCCGTCTGGTGGAGGTTATAGCTTAGCCAGGTGGAATTGTCGCCAATAGGTGCAAAAGCGGATCCCGACATTCTTGCAGCCTCGAAGCTGTCACTAGGTAGGGAAGGCATGACATGAGAATCACGTAGCAAGAAAGGACGACCGAGCTTCATTCCGGCTTTGCTATCCATAAGATAGACCGCCCACCATAAGCGTCTCCGCATTTCGCGGTCTTGCTCAGGCATGCTCAGCGAGGGGTCTAAATGGAGTCCCAAAGCATGAGCTGTGCGCACAGCTTGACCTATTGAATTGTCCAACATATTGTGGAAAGACCCGCCGCACAGATAGACTGCGCAAAGTAAATGGCACTGTAATGTTGAAAGGGACGGACTTTCGAGCTCGTATGTGAGCAGCGTCTGCCCACGCCAAAAGTGCCATCGACCGGCAACCAAAGCATCCTTGCCTTCTACAAGGAATCCTTGGGTGTCTGAGGGCAGAGCTGAAATTCCATATTGCATACACATGGCAATGATGATGTCGACGAGGGCTGATGGTTTTCGTTCTTTGCCACCAGACACCCATAGAGACTGGTAATGCTGCTTGAACTGGGATTCATCCAATATTGGGAATAATGAGGTGTGATATGTGTGCCAGAAGAAGTTGATAAAATACTCTTCTTGTATTGGGCTTAGGTAGACACCGGCATTAGAAAGTTTCCCCGTTGAGACCAGCCTACGTGCTGGGTCTATGTCGGGGCCTTCTGGTCTGTCCAGCAATTTGTTGTCACTTGCTGAGATGGGCAACAAATTGTTGGGAGAATGGGTTTGTTGGAGATTGAGACTCAAATACACACTGAGGCGCTGGATGAAAGAATGCAGTGATGACGGGCCAAGCCATGTGTCATTAGATGATCGCGCAGGGCGAAGCTGTATGCCACCCCAATATTTCTTCAAACCACTCGAGTCAGGAATTTCAGAGTTCCTCGGTGAAAAGACGCGAGGTGGCGATGAGGAAGACCCTGTTGGTGTGGGAAGATTATTGGTCTCATGAGACCGCTGCTCCAGTTCCGCTTCTAGCTGCTGGACTCTCTGCTTCAGCCACTCAATCTCCTCAGAGGCTTGGGTGAGCGTAGATGCTTTGGGCGCTCCACTGTTGCTGCATATTCGGTCTATTGTTGTACAGTTCGTACAAGGGACTTTGTTATCGCACTTCCTGCGTCGGAGTCGGCATTCATCGCATGCCCGAGCCACCTGGACCCGCTTATGGCGCCGGGATGCCACTTGGCGCCTCGGAAGCCCAGGAACCGAAACGCTCGGTCGAGTAGCCATGGGTAATCACTGGATAAGTTGGGCGACTGAGACAAACATCGGCAAGATATACATCCTAGAAGTGAGCAAGCACCTCTGTGCTCCTGAGAAGTTTGCAGGGTTTGCATATGCCCGGTGCCTGGCCCCACCAACCTTATGTAATCGAGGCTCCCAAGGTTCCAGGGTGGGACCTTCCAAGGTTAACAACGCTCCTTCATCCATAAGACTTTATTAGTCGTGTTTGATCCAGCTAGCGAATCAATGTATTCTAGTCTCTAACCCGCTTTAGTTGGATGTAGGGGGCGCATTTCCATTGCGGCAGGCTCAAAGGACAGGGGCAAGCTTGATTTGAGGCCTACGTAGAGGGGTCAGGATCAGCGAATAAAGAGATTAAGTACATGGAGTTACACAAGGCCGTAATGGAAAATATATACCCAGATGAGTTATCTATAGACACCGGTAGTTGGCGAACCCAAACGCGATGGCCGACTTCGTGGCGATATTACTCAATTCTGATTCCTGCTCGAGATACGTGTAGATCATCCCGAATAGAATAGAATCGACAATACAGTAGGTGATTTCACCGTGTTAGTAGGAAGAAGTAGTTTGACTGCAGTGTGAATTGAAATATTATCTACGACACAATCTAGATACAGGTTGTCTACGGAGTACTCCATATAGGAATAGGTGATAAGCTGTGAAAACTGCGACACTTACGCTAGCATGAACGTAGGAGACTAGCATTCTTGGCATATAAGAATGACATATGGTGAAATGCGGTTTAGAAGGAGTCACCACTATATATTTTCATGCGCGTTCGATTCAAATATGGTCCCGGGCCGAGCCATTGTGGAATATATCATCTTTGTTAAGGTATTCAATTGAAGAAGCACAATCTTAGAAGAATAGTCGGCTGCATAAGCGGCTTTGTGATGTCTTCTCAGTGATATATTTAGTGGGTTTTCCAGATATCGTTCTAGTTATATATCCTGCCAGTTTTATCGGTCGATGGCAAAAGAAAAAGCGGGCAAATGGTTGATTAGAATCGCACAACCCTTGCATAATTCATTCATCGCATTTGAATACTTAGAGACGCTGGGCAGTTTAGTGATGGTAGCGGACTTGTCCCTGCATGAGCCAGAGCTTCGGTCTCCACCCAAACTTTATTTGATATACCTAAAGTCAAATAAACGACCAGAAACAACAATAAACGCACATATTGACACTAATCATACTAGCGCAGAGTCACCCATCGGACTCAAATGCTGGAAGAAACAGCCAAGAAAGCCAAGCTGCGGTCTAGGGTCCTAGCACTCCTAGCGAATCAAAATAGGCTAGATCTCGTATCCAGCAGAGTAGCTCGAAAATTGAAAGGTTAAAAGGGAGAGTGACCCCCGCGGTGTGGACTCCAGTTCTTGAATTCCATTTTGCGCCTGCTACAAGCGGTAATTCCCAGTTCATCTAGTTTGTGACAGCCTAAGCGAAAGCCGCAATGTGCCGCACCGCGACATTATTACAGCTATCGCTGTTTCTCGCAGCACAGGCTCTAGGCAAAACGAATGTTGATTATGACCCGGATAAGAATTATCGACCACGGAACGTGACGGGTTTGGATTATTACTATTATCCATGGATTGGCTCGTGCGTTCAACTTCACATCAACAGACCACACTGAGGGTATACTAAGAACCTGCCTATAGATACTACAACGGCAGCGCCGTATTCACCATCTCCGACGTCAACCCTCGAGACGACCGCAGCAAATCCGAGATCGAAGAGGAGGGAGAGTTGGAACTCTGTGGGCGGCTGCGGAACATCACGTACAGCTGGTCCTACCCAGCAATCCTCGCAATCACAGAGACAGAACCGGAAGATGATCGACCGGAGAACACAAATCCAATCGACATTTCGTTGTTCACCTCGTACTCAAACTTCACGAAGTATTTTAACGATTATATCGATTCCGGCAACATGCAGATTCGGGATATGCCCTTTGTATTTGAGGCGATTGAGAAGTCGTAAGTATATGCCCCTTTCTAATATCCACTCTTCTGACAGCTGGCTGATCTGCGACAGGCGTTATGCATTCCCCGCGAATAGAGACACGAAGCCAGAGTTTAACCTGACTGTCTCCCAGAACACTGGGGATGGACTCCCTTTTAGAGTGACAGGGAGCTCGGAGCTAGAGCAGAACCCGCTTGGTGGCTTCCATATGAATATGTCGACCTGCAGTCGTACCGAGGGATGGTGGGGTGTCAATCCCATATCAATCGATGGTAACCGTGACGACATTAGAGGCGTGACAAACCCGACCATGCAGATGACATTTGACGACTCTTCGGCCAGTTTCAGGATCCAATCGTGGATTTACGCGAATCCCTTTGCCGAAACGGGTGAGGAGACGCCAAGAATTTCCGGTATATTGACGATCGACTTCTTGGGGAGGATTGATGATGCACGCTCGGATGTCTTGAACGAGGGAACTCCAGTGACATGGACACCGAGCATGGGGTTCGGGAATAATTCCCTGAGTTTGGATTATGGATCCGGTGCGCTTGCCGCAGCTGGAGTGAACATTGGTCAGATGTGGAGCATCCTGGGGGCCGTTTTAGTATACATCTTCATATAAATACAACATCTTTAACCCTGCCGGAGCCTGCTGTAAATGCGCAACTGCGAGAATCAATACAAGGCCAGAATATTTCCATGGATAAGTCTCTCGCCTCTCTCTGCTTCCATCTACTTTCTTCTTCATCACCCCATTTCAAGTCGACGCCCTGATACTAGCAAGACGAACCACAATAGTTCCCGAGAGGAGTCCAAACCCCCACTTTTCGCCCAACTCGGTGAATTTTCAAAGCTACCACCAGAGCTACGTTTCCAGATCTGGAACTGTCTCTTCGACGATTTCATCAAGAACACGAGCGCACCTTATGGTCCACCATTCTTCCTTGCAATAGAAGCCCCAACAAGGAGACAGCTCGTATTCTATGCGAACATCGGGTCCTATATCTTAATATCCGGATTGATTGCTCCCCTGATGGAATACCAGAATTCCGCGCGATCGTGCAGGCGACAAACAGCGCGAGAAAGCTAGTTGGGGCTAAATACATAGAATTGAGCTACCTTGATGTCCTTCGACTTATCCGAAAATTTCCAAGCTGGAGATTCCAGAAATGTGGACCTTGGATTCGCGTCATGTACTCATATTGGCTGTGGCCCAGAGAGGAGTTAGAGCTGTGGAAGTGTGTTTTCAGGATCGTCGACACTTTGAAACTCATACCAAACGGCAGACATCACATACAATACTCTCTATCCTTGCTCTCTAACGTTACAGCATCTACGGGAACTAATGCAGAGCTGTGTGTTGAAGGGCTGGTTTAATGAAAGATTCCCGGGGCAGCCATTACTGCTTCCGTCCTGCCGTCGTTCAGACGCTCGTGATCACGGTTATCCCCCCGGTCCATGCCTAATCATTCCGATTCAGCACTATTCGGTATTGCAGGCCATGCATTCTCTCGAGCTAAAGCAACATAAACGAGATAATCCAGAGGCTGAGTTATGAGCTGTGAAATCCGGAATCTGCGGCCTATACAATCTGAGCCCATGGGCCTATCAAGGCTGCATTTTGAAACATCTCCTCCCAGTCACCAAGTCCTGCACATCCCGCCGCCGCCCCGTCTACCGGAGAACACAACCCATACCTATCGTATCTCTACTGAGAGCTTGTGCTTGTGGTAAGCTACCTTCTGATACCTTCTGTTGTCACACCTTTTTATACAGCGATGAATTACTTGACACACCACCAGGCTCCTGAAGGCTTCAAATTACTGACTAGCCTCGAGATCTGTCGGACATGGCTATGCTGCATTGGAGAATCAGTGCCTCCCACGAATGACCTGATCATTCAAGGCTCGTAGGCAACACAGGAATTGATCTCTTGTTCAAGATCCTCTCGCTTGCTGTTGATTGAGGGCGAGTCCCCTTTCCACTATGTGAATTAACTGACCAGCATAAAATGCCAGTAGAAATGAGCCTCACCCGCCTTGGCAACACACAAAAAGAGCATCGAACAACAGATATACTTGGGAACTTTCAGTTTCAGGACTTTCTGAGTATAATATTCAGAATATTCGGATCGTCATAGGCAAAGGAAAACACAGACTGCTGCATTCACACTTCAGTCAATCAAATATTGTGTTGCACATTTGGTTGAGTCTCCCTGGGAGCTAAGAAAATGATGGCAATAGTCGTCAACTGAAGTTAAATAGCGACTGAAATCAATACTGGGAAACACAATCTATGAAGGAAGAGAGGAATAAACAGCAGTCAAGAAACAGTGATACTTCTATGAAGTAAAGGCATTTCTAAGGCTCTATGGCCCCAAAGGGAGCGCGCAACAATAGCATGCTTAAGTAAAGGCGACCAAGCAGCATGCTCATCAAATACGAATCTGTCACGGCTGCAACACCGATGAGCCCGGTGCATCCACTTTCACTAGTCTATCCCTGTGGTACCTATATCTCTCACGCTGTCGTGCATATCCCATGGTCTTCAATGAACACCTCGAATGATACTACCATAGTAGCTAGATGGAGGATCTTTCTTTTTCATACCAACCTAGTGCCACAGTAGGTATCAGCGTTCCTTCCATACCTGCGTCTTCATTGATGTCCATACTGCATTTTTCCCGGTCGGGTGTGGTTCGAGCGATGGCCAGGAGGACTACAAATTGCGGAGATCCAGATAGTGTTTGCAAACAGCCCTATTGTATTGTATCCGAGTCCAGTGGGACCTCCAAAATATTGGGCTAAATCAAGCTACCTGGATATACCGCCTTGTACACTGCCGTTTATATTCTGCCAGTTCTACTAGTCTAAAACTCCGAAATAAAGTTAGCTTCTATACACGTGATATAAGGCTGTGATGCTGGTAGCAAAGTTATAAAAGAAGTCGCTGGCACAAATTAAGCCATTTTTAGCTTTTTCCCACCGTCGACCTATCTAAACAGAATGATATCTGAGAAGACTACTAAACATACCACTGGAAAGACCACTGAAAAGACATCACTTGGCCGCTTATGCGGCCCTGTATTCTTGTGGCAGAATACCCAAAAGGAAGGGGTATAAAGGGCGGTATATCTGAGTACTTTGGTTTGGCCCAATATTTCGGGAGGTCGCACTGTACATAGACTGCTTATACTTATGTGCGTATCAAATGCCAAGATTGTACTGCATGACACAAAGGACCGTGCACGTACCCGTGAACGCCATTCCAAACACAGTTAGCGTGTAACCTTAAGTGATCTATAAATCTTAACGCATCCCAACAACCTGCATCTTTAGTTGACAAGGTTGTCCGTTTCTACGAGACGTAGTTAGCTAAACAGAGCTGAAATACAACCATGTGGATGTGTCCGAGTGGTAGTGATATTATCTAGCGGTGTAAACCTACACAGTGTATACACCATCCCATCTCTTCATGACTTTAAAGACTACTCTAGTAATAGAAAGTTGGTCAGACTTTAGTGCAAGTAGTTGTAAAGGCGGAGTGAGGAAATGAGGGGTGACCGGAAGGGCACCCTATTTAGGAAGGTGCAAACGTCCTTCCTTTCTTCGTTCCTTCCTTCCTAACCCTTGGGGTATAAATACCCCTGTTTCTACCCTCATCTCTTTTTCTTTTCTTCCTTCTTCATCTCCCCACATCCTCCTACAAAGACATTTCATCAAACATTTCATCTTTTCCATCTCTTCCACCAAGTCTTTCATCTATAACTGATGTCTTCCATCATCAGCTTAAGCCTTATCACTTCTTCCATCTTTCTACATCCATATCTGATGAGATGAAGCCTGCTGGCGCCATGCCCTTGAGACATTGGCCTTTATTGTGTCAACATTCATCACATCTTTCGTTATTTATGCCACCCGTTTCCGACTTCGTTGTTCCTTCCTTACATTCATTCATCCTTCAGGCAACTCAACCACACAACAACATAACAACATCACATGTCTGGCACCTGCCATGTTCATCATCTATCACATGACTACTAAGTTTGTTCTACCTTTTTCTCTTCTTTGTTCTTTCCATCTACTTACATTTATCCTTTAGGTAACTCAACCACACAACATGTCCCTTCGACATGCCTTCCAAGGTTGCACCTGCTAGATTCATCATCTATCATATGACTTGTATGTTATGCTTATATTGTTCTTCTTTTTTTGGTTCTTCCATCCACTGACATTCATCCTTCAGGCAACCCTACCACGTGCTCTTTCCGTCTCCCATCTTCCATTTTATAAGATCGTGTCGTCACTCGTTCCCGATGGTACGTGTACTTTCATCTCCTCCCATCATATACTTGATTAACATGACCTGGGGCTAACAACACCAGAAGAACCATAGACGAAAAAGAAAAAAAAAGAAAAACAAAACAAAAAACAAAAAAAAAACAAAAGAAAAAAAAGAAAAAAGAAAAGAAAACAAAACAAAACAAAAAGAAAACAAAAAAGGAGAAAGGAAAACGACTTCAATCAACCATTCGACACAAGCATCCACATCAACAATCCAGTTTAACCACCAATTCACTGAATTATACCACTTCAACTAACCAATCAATCCTCCAACCAACAAACCATCCATCCAACCATCCGTTCAACCATCCATTCGAACTAACCACTTCCAGTCAGAACGTGGCGGGCTTCGGCTTCAGGACAATCGGCAGACCGGACAACAACCTCTTCAAAACAACCTCTTCAAAAACAATTATTCCAAAAAATAACTTCAACAAATTCATGTCCCTTCAATCCACTCCCTCAACCAACCACTTTCAGTCTGACCGTGGCGGGCCTTTTGGCTTCAGGACAATCGGCAGGCTAGTTGACTACCCATTACAAACATCCATATCAAACAAGCAATCCTTGAACAACAACTTCAATCAACTGAACTCGATCGTCAAATTCATTCCAGTCTGACCGTGGCGGGCTTCGGCTTCAGGACAATCGGCAGACTGGACAAACAACCACTTCAAACTATCCACCACAAAAAATAACTTCAACAAATCCTCTTCATTCAATCAGCCGTTCCAGTCTGACCGTGGCGGGCTTCAGCTTCAGGACAATCGGCTGACTGGCCAGTCAACCACTTCGATCTGCCATCCACTTTGAAACTATCTATCCACCCTAATCATCCGTCCATTAACTATCCACATTTGACTACCTACAATGGCTCGATCTTCAGGAGGAGGAATGAAAGAGACGGTCTTAAAAAGAGCTCCGCAGAGAGTCTCTCCATCATGTACACTGTTATTGTTACCCTTGCGCAATATATAACATTTCTTGCAGCAGCCTACATATTCTATAGCATACGCAGTCCTATCTGTAACCATAAGCTAGAGCTAAAAGGTTGACTAGGTAGAACGAATAAATAATTCAAGTATTGGTATTTCTGTGTAGGTGGAGATATACCACATGACCCATATAGTTCTATGGTTGAGCCGCGGAACCTCCCTGTCGTCCCGACGCCGACAAAGCTTTGGGTTATCTACCACGTCAAACATATTTGACATGAAAAATGCCGTTATATCAAGCTGGCTGAAAGATGCAGGACCGCTGAGGAGTGCCATTGGCTATTGCTCCCTTGTAGCTTCCACCCAGATCGTTTTTGAAGACCGTCGTGGGCCTTCAAATCTCAAAGACCAGGGGATAATTACGACTTACTTGGCACGAGACCCAGACTAGTCGGCCAATTCCTGGAACATCTAGCCCAGCAGGGACTAGTCACGGGCTTGGTCCACGTGGAGATTACCAAGCAAGCACTAGCAGACCATGGAGAACACATCGTGGAGCCCTTGGCGGATAGGCTTATGGAGAGCAATAAGTTGGGGTGTTTGGAGAATCCCCTGGCTAAAGGCCATGTCGATAAAGCAAAGAACTGGCTGGTTAAAATCTTGCCCTGTAATTGGCTGATGTACCCGTACAACTCCGTTCTCCATCGCGCGATAGAACAGGTACTTCGGTTTCTAGCTTTGTGTGAGACTTGATTTGTGCGAACGACTTTTCTATGTACATAGCCTGTTATAACCTGCCCCTGGACTGTCGAGTTACACACTAGACCAAAAAGATCACTATATCTGGGCATTATGCTCAGATATTCCAGGCTCCGATGTAGTTATATAGTGCATGACATGACATAGCCTTCGCTAAGAGGAAGAAGGTCAAAGTCGAATATGTTTATTATATCCGCAGTAAGAAAGACAATTGGCTTTGATTCAGTTTATGGCGCTAGGCCGACCGTACTAGTAGATACGGAGTATAGATCGTCTCTTTCTCCTGTAGATCGCTAGACAATTTCCCGAAATTTCCCCAGTGTGGGGCAAGACGTTGATTAAATTATATGCAGATACGGAGTACGGAGTACATATATGCAAAAGGCTAAATCCATGTGGATTAAGTTCATAGATTGGTAGGAATAATGTTTTGAATCTATCAATCCATCGCCCCACTAAAAATATAACGAGTTTCACATAAACATTTCTATCCCACGTGAATCGCATGTGAGACACCATGTCTCGACAAAAGAACATCTTGGCAGGAAACATAAAAAGGGCAATTGGCCCTTGAATTACATTCCTCTCAGTATAACGGCTTCGAATTCAACATGAAATTCAGCTCTATTTTGTTATTCACGGCTGTGGCAGTTGCCACCAGCCCAGTCAAGAAGGCCAATACCATCTCAGTTACTGGCTCGCCCCCAGGATTCGCATACGGAGTCACCGGAGGTGGAAACGCGAAACCAGTTTATCCCACCGATGTCAAGCATCTGATCCAGCTTCTGGGTTCTGATGAACCTCAGGTCATCATTATCGATAAGACATACGATTTCATCGGAACAGAAGGGACAACCAAGGGAACCATTTGCAAGGCATATGGCTCCTTTGAAGATGGTTGCCAGTCCACCATCGATATCGGAAAAGGATGCGACGGTAAACCGTCCGAGCCATATGAATGGGATACTGCCGGAACCACTGGAATCAGTGTTCACTCAGACAAGACGATCATCGGAGTCGGAAACAAGGGCGTGCTGCTCGGAAAGGGACTGAGAATAGTCCGTGCCTCCAACATCATTGTGCAGAATATCATGATTACCAACCTCAACCCCAAGCTTGTCTGGGGTGGCGATGCGATCACCCTTTCTAGCACTTCACGCGTCTGGATTGACCATGTTACGGTTAGTCAAACTCTATGAGGATTGCTCCACTGAATGCTAACTGGATCGTAACTAGACTCAATACACTGGCCGTGTTCACTATGTCTTTGGCCACGAAGCGAACTCTCATGTCACTATCTCCAACAGCTTCATGAACGGTGCGACCAATTTCTCTACTTCGTGCGACGGACAAAATTACTGGGGACTGGAACTTGTCGGAGCCGACGATCAAATCACCTTTGCAAGTAAGTATTTCCAGCCAAAATTCCTTGATATCAATCCACAGAACTAGGAATACTAATATTCGTACGATAGACAACTACGTATACAGAACATCGGGCCGCAGCCCTGCACTGAGCGGCAAGACACTCTTCCATGCCGTCAATAGCGTCTGGGAGAACAACAGCGGACACGCTATTGAGGGCACAGATGATGGCCAAGGTCTCTTCGAAGGTTGTGTCTTCAACAATGTCACCCAGATCGTCGGGGATTACGTCGGTCAACTGTTTAGCTCGCCAAATGCCGCTGCAAACAAAGCATGCGCTAGTGCCCTTAAGAGGGACTGCGTGACGAATATTCAGACTGACAGTGGCGCTCCGTTTACCAATGCCGATACTAAGTTCTTCGCTAATTTCGCCGGCCTCAATGTTGCAACTGCAAGTGCGGCTTCGAAGGCCCTGGCAAGCGTCCCGACCAATGCTGGAAACACGCTTAACAATGCCTAATCGTGAGGAAGAGAAGACTATGGAGAAGGGGAATCAGGAGATGGAATAGAGAGATTTATGTTCTAAGAATGTATGTTTAGAATTCAAGCAATTTTAAATAGGATTGTGATAATATTGTATCAAGATGTATTAACAAAATATGATAAAAAAGTGTTATGGCGCACTGCCCAGGTGGTTAGAGAAACCGTACTTCACTCTTTGATCCCGCAACTACCATTCACACTGTCCCCCCTTATTGCCTCATACTGAATATCGTTGTAGGGGACATGAGATTATGCATTATATGGACTGAACTGTCTTCGCTACTTGCCTTTCAGTTCTCCAGTCACATCTTCACGTCTAACATCCTTTTCCACTGGCAACTGGAGTGGAGGCAAATCGAGCGCGCAAACCCCGTCTCGCCCCCTCTGTCCCGTCCAACTCCGACGTGGATTGGTTTGAACTGTGAGCTTATTCGCAAAGCTCTCCTTCTCTTATTTTCTAATGTACAGAGGGACACTACGGAATATATGTCACCTCGTTCAGTAATCCAGTGCTTTCGTAGTCCCATTTCATATTGACACCTTGTGACTCGAAACTGGTGTCACTATCTAAACTCTTTTGTTACTTCTTTGTTACTCAACCCCAATACACAAGCGATGCCCTATCTATGGTGTAGATATGTTGACTTAGGGTGACATGGATGTAAATTTACTCAGTAAAACAAAGCATAAGTACGCACAGAGGAAGGAAGGCTCTTGACATCAAGTCACAAAATGAAATATGAAGCCGGAGACATAAAACAGAAATGCTGAAAGAAAATCGATGGGTTGAACAGAAACATAAACAGCAAAGATATCACTTCATCCTTGCCTTTTTTGCTTTGCCTTTTGCAGGTTTCTTTGTATCAGCTCCCTTCTGCTTCTTCCGTTTCTTCTTGGGGCGTGCATCCTCGTCCGAGGTCAAATCCGATTCAAACGGCGGTGCAGGTTCATCCACATAAACCTCAGCTTTGCACAGAAGATGTGGTTCGCCCTTCTGGCCGACTCCCCCAACTCGATACAGATGTGGTCGAAGGAGAATGAGCACTTCATGCCCGTCAAGTCTAGACCCAACTTCCCCGAAACCTCCTATTTCCATCAGCTGCGAATGGTTTTGAAATTTAGTGGGAAGTTCATCGAGAAGTTTCCATTTCAGACACGGCTGCGATGTGGACGTCCCCTTTGCAAATTCAGCCATCCCAAAGTATACGTAGCCGAGGGATTCCTTGAGAGTGTCCTCGTTTTCCTTCATATCCTCTTTGATCAGGGCTCGAAAGGTGTCATCTTTGAGTCTAGCGGCAGCAAATTGGAAGGCCTTAGCCTTTCGAAGCGCCTTGTTTGCAAGCCCAAATGTAGGATCGCGTTCCTCATATAACTCCGGCGGGTGGTGTTGGAGACCCTTATCTTGTCGGAGATTGGCGAGGCGTGCTGTCTGCGACCGCCAGCGGCGAGCAAGCTCTGGCTGTGCTAAAAAGAAAAGGTGTTAAATTTGTAATGGAAAAAGAACTATAGGGCTAGGTCACCATTCAGGAACACTTCACACAGGGCATTCAATTGAGCCCCAAAAGGGGTCTCAACTTGGTCGCTGTCGCTGTTTGTGAATTCATCCTCGAGCTCCAAATACGAGAAAGGATTTGACCAAAATAATCTCAGGCAATCCTTCATAATAATCATCGTAGCCAAATTCGCCAGGAAATTGTACTTTACGTTCGGCGGGAGCCTTGAGAATGTTCTGTCCAAGTCGTCTTGAACGATGAATCCCTTCAACCCCGTAACAATATCCCTTTTTTGCTGCTGGGATAGGACTTCGCACTTGTCGCCTCTTCTGGTTATAATGCACCTGGCACTTGCCCAGGTGTAACATTCCCATGTCATATGTTTGAGCTCAATTCCCCATCGTGCAAGAGAGAGCTCAGGCCAGAGATCGGTAAACCCATTCAAGTAAAAGTTGTCAACTTCAAGAGTACTAGTCCGTTTCAAGCAGGTTTCAAGGGCTTCCTCCAGCTTTTGAATACGTACCTTTGCCTCTTCAAATGTGGAAGGAGGAGGTTCCTCCTTGTATTTCTTCCAGAAGGGTCTCTTTTTCTCCCATTCGATCATTGCCATCCTTACTTGCTCCACTTCTTTCTGGCGGCGAAGACTATTCCGTTCACATTCCTCTTCAAATATCTCCAAATATCTGGCCTCTTCCCCCTTTGGCGGTGGCAACCCCGCGATAACTCTTACGCGACGTCGTTCATCAGGGTCATCTTGATCTGGCAATCCCGATAGAGCTCTTATGTGACGTTTCTCAGCAGACCAGGACATGGTGGAATCCTGCAATTTTGGAGGCATGGTAGAAGGCAGCTGCTACTGCTAAAGGGGATGTTTAAAAATGTGGAAATCAAGACTTTTTTATGATATGGTCTGGTCTCTTCGAGTCAAATAGGGTTGAAACACGAGACAGGAACCAGGTTTAGATGCACTTCTTAGTTCGGAAGGGGGTGGATATACCACTGAATGATTATTCCAAGTCCAGTATATTTCAGACTTCTTTTCAAAACAGATAAAAAAGAAACCGAATCAAACAAAGGGCAGGGCGTCATGGGTCTTAGTCAATTTTCTTAGGTCAATTCTCAAACCATTTTGGATCATTATCCACATTGGTATCTCTTTGATTCCGAAACATGTCACAAAAATATATGCAAAATAAATAATAGGCTACTCAGCGTATTAGTCGAAGCCAATAGCAACATCTTAATGAGTAGACAGCAGAAAACGCAGAAGAATGTAAACCAGGCGGTCTTTTTAACTGTGACAAAATATATATACAGAGCGCTTGCATTTTCAAGCCTTGAAATATTCACACGTATTGAATGCCCGACTCTTTTTAAATAAAGAGCCTACCAAAACGCTTATGTTGGCACGCGTGGTCCAACACTTCTCCAGAACTCACAGCGCTCACCACGGCCGCCTTCCCATTTCCATGCATCTGCCAGTCTAAACTCATTCGTGACTCCAGGCCCTTCTCGAAGCCAGTAAGAGAGGCTTTCAGTAACTTCCACGTAGACCGTTGTTCCACCGGTGGTGTTCAGGTTCATTAAGATGGGAGATCTGCTATTCCACTCCGGCCAGGCAATATTTCCGTGGATACCTTCAGGCACGGTGGCATTATCTGCGCCACCCTTGGCGTCGATGATAGAGATAACCGGAGTATCATTGATGATAAAGCTGCCCCAAATCTTCTGGAAGGCATCGATCAGGCCGCGAGTGGGTGTAGTCGCTCCAACAGAGAAGTATGCACTCAAATCAGCTCCGTGGTACGAAGGGGTGATGGAGTACTGATATTTCCAACTCTCCTTGGTATGACCTGCGAAAGCATCCGCGAGCCAGTAAGAGGGGCAGTCGAAGGATGATTCGGCGTATATGTTGAAGACTGTCTGCTGAAGACCAGTTGCCATTTCTGATTGGTTGATAGCAGTTGGACCACGATCGCCTAATGTATCGTATCGGGGACCGGTATTTTCAGGAGAGCTGTCGCGGTACTGGTAGATATCCAGCAAACGGGAATAGTCTCTGCGGGAGAACAAAGGGAAAGCAGAGTGGACGTAACTCAGGAAGCCGGCAGCCGTGTTCACATATGGCGGGCTAAGCGGGACGCCCTCGTTGGCATTGTTCTGGAGGAGTTAGCTTGGGGGATGTCTACATGTTAGAACGAGATTCTGGCACATTGAACCTACCCCAGATAAAACACGCTTCCCGCTCACTTTCTTCTTGTGTAATTGCTTAGAAGGCAGTTCCCGGATAAAATCACCATCGATTACAGGTTGGAAGGCCCAAGTACCCCATTCTCCTGCTATGGAGACATTCGCACTGGCGTATTGCAAAGTATTGGTGTCGGCATTGACGAGGCAGTCAAATACAGCTGCCTCAAACCTTTTACCCGGCTTGTAACAGCCTGCTCGTGTTGCGAAATCCTGATAGTGACTTGTCGGCACTCGCCCATCGTACTCATGCAAGGGCGCGCTATACGGGCTGGCGGCAATAACCTATGCAAGTCAGCCATGCTTTCTCGGATTTTATAGCGCTATGACTTTACGTTATTGAATAAGTGGTCCTCACGACCACCATAAGCCATTGACTGTAGCATTGCCGAGCCTGCTCCTGAGGATTCGCCGGCGACCGTAACGCGGGAGGCATCACCGCCAAATTTCCCAATATGCTCCTGGACCCATTCGAGGGCGAAACGCATATCAAGCAAACCTGCATTAGCCTTGCCGTGCTTGTGTACGGCTTCTGACGACAAGAAGCCAAAGGCTCCCAGTCTATACTGAATCATAACTGAAATGAACCCGTTGTTGTTCGTGTTGATCAACTCACTGGGGTCATATACGGCCCCAAAAAGCCCGTATCCGCCACCGTCTATGAGTGCTTAGAATAGGTTCTGTCGGTTGAAAATCTTGATTTCTGCATTGACTTACGAATCCAAAGGAGGACAGGAAGGTCTTTGGCCCCGGGCGGAGCATACACATTCAAGAACAAGCAGTCCTCATTGCCCAGGGCTGAATTGAAGCCGTATGCTTCTGGGAGCTTTGCACCACCGGACTGTGGACACAATGGAGGCTGTTTAGTGGCAGATTGGATAGAATTCCTGTTTACTAGAGGGGACTGTGGCGCTTGCCATCGCAGCTTTCCTACGGGAGGGGCCGCATATCGAATCCTGGCCATCGACAATGAGTAAGAACGAACGCTTCGACAAGTCCAATGAGGTACATCTCTCACCCTTTAAATATATTGAGGTCATAGGTGCTGTCATGGTATCCTTCATAGGTGGCGTAGCCTAAATCAACCACCGGACTGGATGTTTGGACAGGAGTAGCTAGACCAGGGGTGGTAGTGAGAGCCAGCAGAACAAGGCTGCTTATTCCTATAAAACCCATACTAACTCTTCACAATTGAAATAGTTGAAGAGGAGGAAAGGGAATATTGCTTTCTATTTGGGACGCGAACATACCTCCCCCTAACGTAACTCGTAAGCGAACGGACCAGCCGGGTATCTCCCGAAAGCCGATTGTTTCTCCACTATTTAAAGGGGGGTCATCTATACAATCTATATTGCCCGAACTACTCCGTATATGCTATCCCGAATGGTTGTTGTTAGTGTCAAACTTAGCGTATCCCGTAAAATCTCGGTTAGTGTAAGCGAGTCGAGATTATCCTGATTGATCAGCATCTTTTATCCCCGAGGCCGCTATCCACAAGTATAGCCGGTCAAAAGTACGGTGGTAACATGGGGGCCGAAATTCAACGCCGGGGGCCAGATACTACGGAGTACTAGAAGGAGTACTCCGTACTCCGTAAGGTAAGCGTCGACACTCACATCGCGCATGTAGCCGGAGTGGCTTTTATTTTCTTTGAACAAAATAAAGCACTTCTCCTTAACTCCTCTCTATGGACTTGCCCTAGACCTTGACTCCCCTACTTCGCACCCGACCATAATGGCGGGGGAAGTTGATTTGAGTGAGTCGCAGGTTACAACTGTGACTGTGTTATATTCAATTCCTATTCCATTTATGATTTTGTTCACCGGGCTTCGGCTTTTCGTCGTACTGCGACCTTCGTCCAAAAATCCTATAAACTTCGATGATTATATGATCATATTTTCAACGGTCTGATCCTCCTCTTCCCATCTTTTTGCAATTACTTTTCTAATACTACTTATATGAAATAGGTAATATCAGTTGGGCTATGTATAAGTGGCTTGGTTTATGGTAGGTTGTTATGCCAAGATATAGATGTCCCATATCAAACCTTTTTATAGGCCCACCCTATGGTTTTGGCAAACATCAAGCTGCTCTCACTACTCAAGAAGTCGAGGGTTTCTTTCGGGTAATTTCAAAAACATCGATTATATTAGTTTACATGCTAAACTGAATTCTTAGGGCGATTATGTATTCAGCCATTTCTACGACTGGGCTATTGCATGCATTAAGCTTTCGATTCTTGGACTTTACTATCGCATTTTCAGCACGCTTGTCTTTCGCCGAATAGTCACTGGAACTGCAACCTTTATTATTTGCTGGCTAGCAGCCATGGAGATTGGCCTAGGGCTAGAGTGTATCCCTATCGAGAGCATTTGGGATTCGGATATTAAGGGAAACTGTATAGACCTAGTGGCATTCTCCTACTTCACCAACATTACCAACCTGGTCACCGACTTATGGGTGTTTCTTCTCCCCCTACCGATTATCTTCAGACTACAAATCAGTCGAAGGCGAAAATTCGAAATTGCATGTGTTTTTGCCGCCGGTCTATTGTAAGTTATATTCCCGGTTCTCTGAACGTTTCTACTAACATATATAGCACATGTGGCGTCACTGCTGCCCGCTTAACCGTTGTGGTCTCACAAGGGTCCTCAGATTTCACTTGTACGTCCAACTAAAATATCGTTTCATGTTTGAAAGCTGATAAAAGGGTTTAGGGGCTGGTGTCCCGCTCGGAATTCTGTCTATATACGAGCCACTGTGTGGAATCACTTGCGCAAATCTCCCCTTTCTATACAAACTAGCAAACGGGCACTTCAAGAAATCTTCTTCTCACCATCCCGCAAATACAGGGGAGACAGTCTCCGGAGCGCAATATAGGGCTAAACAAAATAGCTCAAGGATGCATATAGGGTCATTGAGTATGCACAGTGAAGGGATGATGCTCTCGCAGAAGGGGAATGATTCGACAACATTCATTGTGACATCTAATCAGAATCCTGAGATTGAGCTATCGATGGTGGAAAGGTCGTATTCTATGTCTCAATCAGATAGCCATGAAATATTAGGGAGATAAAAATGTCATGTCATGCACTATATATATCGTAGCCTGGAATATCTGAGCATAATGCGACTCTTTGTAAGACGGCCAAAATTTGGTCCCTAAGCCAGACGTTAGGCGAAACAAAAGGAATTTTCAGGACATTCCAAACTCCCTATCGCCCTTATGTATGAATTAAATATCCATCAAGAGGGTAGATATCGTGGGTATGGTGAAACCTTGGTCTATGCCTAATGTGCCCTTTCAACAAGGGTATCCCGCTGCGAGACGCCTGGTTTCCGGCGTAAAATTCAAACTAAAATTTGTCAAGCTCAAAAATGTTTCATGATGTGACCGAATATACATATTTGTCTAAGAGTATGTGAGTCTGCTCGGTTTGTAGGTTTGAGAAGGTGATGGCAGGTTACCCACCATCCAGACTTGATAGATTTGGGACCAAGACCATATCGGATTTGATCAAGCTATATCAATACTATATCTGCTAGTAGTTATCCTGCGAATTCTGAGGACTATAGTTCGAAATTTGTGTATCAAGGTTGCTCAGATGTGAAAATTTCTCTTTCAATCTTAGTGCCTCATCCTATTTCGGACATTAAAAGGAGGAAGGGAGAAGAAGAAAGGTGGATTGTCCTCAGGTTCATCAAATCACCACCGAATGTTAGGATATCAATGGGAGTGGATGCATCTAAGGCATGTGTAAGTGATTCATACCCCCATGTGGTGCTTTTTCACTGGTAAAGATGTCCAATACGTCGGGAACCTAGTCATATAGTTCTGTTTATGATTGCCTTGATGTGAGTCATAATTCAGAAAGCGTATGAGTTGCTTCTGCAATGAGATATAAACATCCGTTTAAAGTATTGTTAATGGCCAATCATCAATCGCGCAAGCATGTGGATAAATTGTTTAAGGAGCAAAAAGGTAAAACACGAGATAAATCAACACAAAACAAAGCAGAATAACAAGCTAAATTTCTTCCAGTCCTTCGTGCTGGCCTTCCGGTTACTGGTTCGCAACCACAACATATGCTGGGATGCTATATTCAGTTGCTGTTCTCGCCGAGAAAGTGATATTACGGCGAATAACCCCCGGGAAAAGACAAATCAAAATCCGATGACCATCCAAGCTGAAGCGACCCTCGTGTAGATGATTGTATTCATGTGGGATCATGATATCACCTGTACCCTTGGTGAAAGTCTCAGGCAGGTCTTTCATTTCATAGAAAGTAGGGTTGCCTCGCGAGTTTTCAAATTTGACAGCTTCATCGGATGCAAACTCAAAGACTCTGTAGAGGCGTCTACGCCGCTTGTCAACCTCCTCCTTGGTTGATAGATCTCTAAGTAGCCATTGGAAAGGCTCGCTGGCAAGAGTTTCATCCACGAATCGATTGAGAAGGGACCTACGGCGTTCCTGATTGTAAGTTCCAAATTCTGTGCTCGAAATCCTACTTGGTCTCATCCCATTTGCAAGGCGGTTCGTTTCCGATCTCCAAAGTCCCGCCATGTTTGGATTGGCTATAGTAAACGAAAGAAATGGTCAATGAACAAGCTCGGATAGGAGGGAACCTGTAGACATACTTTCATGGAATCTCTCATACAGATACTGCAGTCGGGCGCCGAACGTCTCATCTCCTTCATCTGACGCGTTCATCTTTCCGTCGAGGTACCAGTAACGGGACAAGAAAATCCTTTCGACGACGTGTTTATGGATCATAGCTTCTGCTAGTATTTCGAAGATCGTCTCTCGAATCAGCGGTGAACAGAGTCCTATAAAGACGTCCCATTTCTCTTGCACACATTGTCCTTTGAGACTACCGATGATGGCCTCTTTCTGGCTGTCGGAGAGATGGTCCGCATCCCTATGGTCGGTCTTCGAGAATTCAATGGCCCACGATTGGGCCTCCACCCTAAAACCGACCGTAGAGATTCTCATTTCTTTTGCATTCCGTGGCCCGGGCCAACCCCACATTCCAGCCTCGAACATCTCTCTCATCTCCGCAATTTCATTCCCATACTCAACCCGTGAACGATGGCACGGAAAGAAAACCTCGGGCTCGGGTGAGGAAGGAGTCATCTTTGCTTTCTTTTGCTGGTGTTCTTCGGAAGGAGGGTCTTGCTTTAAAGCATGTCAGAGTCAACATATAGCAGCAAAAGGGAGATTTCGTACCTCGGAATTCTGTTTTAGGGATTTAGTGGTAACCATGGCCGAAGAAGTGATATATCCAAAGGTCGGGGGGAGATAAAAGGAAGAGGAGACATAGGTTTCAAAAACACCATATCCCCTTTCTTATGTCTAAATTGTGTGGAGAAACATGCACACATTTCTTTGTTTCGAGGAACAGTTCAAATTTCACACTAACATGACAGAGTTGGGCCATTTCTTTGTTCTTTGAAAAATGAATATTTACTAATATCTGTACTCTGTACTCCATAGCCACATCAGAGACCAACGAATCAATGGTTAGATGAAACTAGGGCCCAGGCTCAGGAGAAACTGTGATAAACATATGAAAGACAAGCCATGTTTCTTGATTTCTTTAAAATTAGTACATTCTAGTGAATATATGCTCTGTACCCGCATTAGAGACAAACGAAATTAGTGGCTAGATGAAACTAGGGCGAAGGGTTAGGAGAAATCGTGATAGACATATGAAAGACAAAGCATGTTTCTTTATTCTTCTTTATCAACTACTGAGTAATTGAAGATACCTTATTAGTATGTACATCAATATGTGCCAGCCTACCTATTTGGCCATGATCTACTTACGGCTATGCTTACCGATCATTTCTAATGATGTTGAGTCAATATCAACTTTTGTTGGCAAGGCGCAATACTCGCGCAATTTGTGTGCTCCTTGCCCTCGTTTGAAAGTTGACTATCGAGGAGGCTTTCCTCGAATCTGTGAAATGTCTGGATATAGATTGTTAGCTTGTCATCTACAGCCCTGTAAATTGGTTAGAAGAGGCATGGCTGATAGATACCCAAGATATGGCGATTTTTATCAACGAAGCTGATTTAGCAAGGAAACTGGAGTTCTTCAGCTCTTATGGAATCCTGATCTGATACCCAGGTGCCCCATGTATAAACGGCTTTGATGAATGACATATATCGGCTTGCATTACAGACAAATATGCCGTTGGTACATTGCGCCTACCAGGAATAGAAATCATAGATGGTAGCTATTCAGGATTGTTTGTTGGCACTAGACCTTCCTAACTAGCCTCGTAGCTTTTAGTTTGCACAAGATCCACTAGTAGTATGTGAGAGCAGAGTGTGGTATATACAGGAGTGATAGCCAAGCACAGATGCTAACTATGAGATGATTTCCGATCACTCAACCCTAACCTATCTTCAATGACCTTGACTATCTCAGTCCATTCCAACATAGCGCCACTTCCCACATCCCCACAAGCCAATACCTTTGACGACTGCGGTTGTAGAACCTCAAACCATCCCGTCTCCTCTCCAGTGTGCTTGTCCGTTCTAACCCCCCATTCCTCCTCTAGCACTCGGATATGCTGGGCCGTCACCGGATGCCGCCACATAGCCGTATTCATAGCCGGCGCAACTACAATCCGTTTTCGTTTCCCATCAACCTGTCCATCTGTATCCCACGCCCGACATACAGATGTCAACAAGTTATCGCTAAGTCCATTGGCGAGCTTGGCTAGGGTATTTGCGGAAAGAGGAGCAATGACGAGGATATCTGCCCAGCGTCGGAGAGAGATGTGCAAGATATCAACACCGCGGCGCCACGGTTCTGGTCCCCACTCCGCGTCATCGTCGTAGACGGCTTCCACGCCGGGAAGGGAAATGAGGGATGAGACCGGGGGCTGCTCGGCGGACTGGCCGGCTAGGAATTGCTTGGCTTTGGTGGTGAGGATTACTCTTATTGAGAGCTTGTGGGTGTGAGGGGAGAGGGCGCTGATAATATTGGCTATTTTGATAGTCGCGACTGAGCCAGTTGCGGCAAGGAGGAGGTGAATACGATTGTCACTGATGGAAGTCTTTGATTCTGTGGGATTTTGGTTTGAGTCGGCATCAATGCCACTGTTAGAGTAGGTCATTTGAGACATGACTTTGGATATAAAGTTCTCGAATGTCTCAACTTAGTTTCATTGGCGCATATGCAGTTTCAAGTCGTGGATGAGAGCGGTTCACCGTAAGATGAGCGGGGTGATAAGACCCTTATCGATAAGCCTTCTATCAGGTTTCCGGCCTTGCCCAGGTGGGATACTCTCCGTAAACCTTGGAAGTCATGGAAGTTGATGAAGCCTAGTCTTATTTGTTTTGTTTTTCTTTTCAATTATCTTGTAGTATGGACTAACTTCTTGGCATAAAACATGTGACTTCGATATCAATGATATATTTCTATTAGTACGATTGTCATTTTTTGGTTCCGTCATTTGAACCCTCACGCATTTCGAATAAGATCTAAATCAGGGCTTCCAAGCATAATTCTCGTATGCTCCCCGTACTTTACAACAGCAGCAAATAGAGCAAATCCAGCAAATCAAGTGCTCTTCTTAGCACTCTCACGCTCAGCCTTGCGGAGAGCGCGCTTCCGAATGCTCTCGTGCATAGACTTGTTCTGCCCGAGAACAAGTTTGCCCATAGTCCCAGTAACAGAAGTCAGGAACCAGGCCATGATACCATGACTCCAGTAGGGAGACGAGCTGTAAGCATAGGTAGGCGAGCCACCGCTGCGACCAATCTTCGAGAGAACGGAGCGAACGAAAGCGCGAGGGGTAGGGATGGAAGCCGAGGCACGACGGATCTTGGACATGGCAGAGGTAATCAGGTAGGCTTGGACAAGTTCGACATCAATACCGTAGGGAGCCAGCTCGCCGCCAAGAGCAGTCGACCAGTGCTGAAGGAAAGCCTTGCTGCCGGAGTAAGTGGCAAGGAACGGGGTAGGCAGAAGGCCGCCGAAAGAGCCCATGGTAAGAATCAAACCGCGACGACGCTGCATCATTCCCGGAACGACAAGCTGGGTGACGCGTAGTGTGCCGGTGCAGTTGATGGTCACGATATCGGCCATCTCTGCGGCGGGGGTCTGTGCGAAGGGGACGGGGATTGAGTGGCTCAAGCCGACGTTGTTGACTAGCACGGACACGTCCAGATCGGAGATCAGTTCGCCCAGCGCCTGGTAGTCGGCGTCGGCGTTGCGCGCGAAATCCATTGCGAGAGTCTTGGTCTGCACCTGCGGGAACTGCTTGCTGATATCCTCGGATAGCGTTGCTAGCTTCGAGGCGGTGCGCGAGACGAGCACGACGTTGAATTTCGACTTGGCCAGTTGCAATGCGAATTCCTTGCCCAGACCGTCCGACGCGCCTGTGACCACGGCCCAGCTACCGGGGGGACCGAACGAGCGAAGCTATTCAATCATTTTAGTCAGCTTCATATCATTAAATCAAGGAATTGGATATCGAATTTCATACCGGTTTACCCGGAAGCACGAACAGGCTGAGAAGCACCCGCACGAATGTCCAGACCTTGCAGGCAATGACCAGCCCACCAGTCGCCAGGAGGAACAGCGCTCCATAAGTAGGCAAGCCAGGGGCAATGTGGCTTGGCCATTGCGAGATACACTCAATATGCTTTGAGATATCCATAATGAGGAAAGAAACGTTAATAACAAGAGGGTGAAGAAGGAGGAAAAAAAAGTTGAGCAAACCAATGCATGAGACTTGTTGGGATCAACGCCAAGAGTTCAAACATCCTCGGCCTCCCCAAGTCAGCAATAATAAAAACAACCAACTCCCTCCAGATCAAAACAAACCAAGACTCACTCAAAAATGGACCAATACCTCGCATATTTCCCCCAAACTGAGGGCTACCTGCCCAAATGGCTTTTCTTCGTTAGTTATACCCGCGTCCACCCCCCAATCCCATTACAACCACTCCCAACCCCTAACTACCAATGCTTCCATTCCCCGATCTAACTAACCACCCACCACTCTATACAGGTTTCGGTTGTCTCCGCTCTTAACAGCCTGCAAGCTTACAATGCGCCAAAATATACCTCTCAGCTCTACAGTAATGGCAAGGTCCCCGCCAGCCCGCTCTCCGGCCGCATCTTCGGAACCTGGACTTTCCTCTCTGCAGTCATTCGCATGACCGCCGCTTACAATATCACAAACTCTGTCGCATACGACCTCGGCATGTGGACATATGGTATTGCGCTGGCACATTTTGTTGGCGAGATTATCTGCGGCGATGCCTCGCTCGAGGGCCGGTTCTTGAGTCCCTTGGTTGTTGCTTCGTCTTCGCTGGTTTGGATGTTCACCCAACGCGCTGCCTACCTGGGTTAAATCCCTGATTTAGGCAAGGACATTATTTGGCTTTGGGAGATGCTCCAACGCAATGCAACACATGAAACCGATGGCTATGGAGGAACTGAGCATTGCATGTTGCGCAACAACTATGTACAACTTATGCTTCGGCACAAAAGCTTTGGTGGGGAAATAATATATATGTATACTATAAGAGGAAATGCCTTCGACTCTGGTATAACCCTAACCAGACATCATCCCTTTCTTTTCTTTTTTCTTTTTTCATTCTGACACACTTCACGAATCGATCTTCTTCCTGTACAACTCACCACCACAGGCGCGCAGCTTAGCAGCGGCTTGCTCGGGAGTGATATCACGCTGAGGCTCCGCCATAAGCTCATAACCGACCAAGAACTTGCGCACGGTAGCGCTTCGCAGCAGAGGCGGGTAGAAGTGCAAGTGCAGGTAGGATGCCTCAATCTCCTCCTCGGTACCATCAAGCGGAGCCTGGTGAATACCCATACTGTAGGGGAAGTGCGTCTCGAAGAGATTATCATAGCGACGGGTAGTCTCCGCGATGGCCTCAGCAAGCAACATCTTATCAGCCTCAGACAAATCAACCAACGCGCGCTTGTGCGTGCGGCTGACAATCATCGTCTCGAACGGCCAAGTCGCCCACCACGGACACACAACCAGGAACGCCTCGTTCTCGAACACAACGCGCTCCTGCTTGCGGCTCTCCAGCGCCGCATAGTCCTCCAGCATGTGGTTGCCGCCGTGCTGCTGGCGGTACTTGGTCAGCTGCTCCATTTCGGCGGCGGGCTCTTCGGGCATTGAGCTAGTCGTCCAGACCTGTCCGTGCGGGTGAGGGTTCGAGCATCCCATTGCTGCGCCCTTGTTCTCGAAGATCTGCATGTACTTGTACTGCTCCTTTGGCTTGGCGGCGCTTGTTGAGTGGGATTTGGGCTGCAGGGTTGTTGCAGGTGCGTTCTTCACTAGTGGTGAGGTCGGGGAAAGGTGTGCTGTGTAGATCTCTGTCCAGGCGTCGATCACGGGCAAGATCTCGCGAGGCGCCAGGTCGGCGAGGGTGAGGTTGTGCGCGGATGAGAAGGTAAGCACGTAGCACTTGCCAGTTACAGGCTCGGCTTTGAGGAACCGCGATTCGAGTTCTATGGTCTGTGAGCTTGGTGTGTGTGGTGTGGATGCGCTGGGTGGCCGGACGTACCATCCTGGTTTGAGGGCTCATATGGTGCTTGTTCTTCTTTCACTGCGCTGTAGTCGTTCACAAACACGAAGGTGCTCTCGTAATTAGGGTTGGTATCGCCCTGGGCGCGCTCGTTCCCGGGGCAGAGGTAGCATTTGGGGTCGTAGTTTGGCAGGGTAGTCTTGGAGGGGCTCTCTTGCGCTCCTCTAGATTGTTGTACAATTAGCTGATTTGTTGCGCAATGTCGTTTTCCCACGACAATACTCACTGCCAGGGACGCTTGGTTCGGTGGGGAGAGACCAAGATGGAGGAGCCACGGAGGGGGTTAAATCTCCGGTGGGAGATGTCGTCGAGTACGTTTTCCATTGCTATATATTGGAGCAATCACAGATCAGAATATTCTGGAGGAAGAAGAAGAAAGGAAAAAGAAAAGAGAGCGAAGATAGTTTAAAGGGTTGGAATTTGGTGGGGAGGCGGGGTCTCCGGAGTAGGAATGTGTCAGGTTACAGCTATTAAGCGACGCCAAGTGGCATAGAAGGCGGATCTCGCCTAATATAAGGAGGTCAATCTTGCGAAGTTGTACAAACAATATACATTAGCATTCAACGTCTTGGCATCTCCGTCTTTTTCTCGGTGAGCCGTCCAGGAATCGGGATCCCGCGGCTTTTCCGGGGAAATATGCGCCTTTGAGGGAACGGGTTAACCTGAATTCAGCTGAAAGAAGTAATTAAATTCCGTGATTCAATTAAAATCCCCGGTTGTCGTCCCCACGTGGATTGACAGTCCAAAAGAAAACCAAAAAAGGAAATTTATGCCCGCATGCGGTATGACGTAGTTTATCGCTTATCGGAGAACAACCTTCCCTTCTTCATGCGGTACAACATCATACCTTGAAACACTGTGTAACACACATAAACTTGTTGTCTGTTTGTATCAACAGTATATTAATTAACTAACATTAAGGGCTTCGCTTTTTCTAGCTTGAATATCATTTAACAATAATCGTCGCTATGAACCCCGCAAACCCCGTTACCTTGGACTCGCTACCAAACGAGGTATGTCCAAAGAGTATACTATGGATCAATGACTCTAAAGATATCTCTAGGTTTTCGTTCAAATTCTATCAGACTTTACTACCCGGGCACTGCTCCCACTCACTTCAGTCAACCACCGATTCCATGCCCTAGTGCTAAGAATCCTCCACTACCGCCTACTACTAAGCACACCACTCGATGGATACAAATTACTGCTGGAATGCTTTCACCCTAGCTCAAAGCTCACAGAGCCACATGTCTTCTGTAAATACCTCGGTACAGATGGACTGAGCGAACGTCATGATGGTGCGGGCTCATTATACGAGAATGTCGATACCGCCCACCAGCTGGGTAGAGTAACAGGACTATATTCTCGCTTTCGCCCAGAGGTAAGCGGCAGCGAAGAGGAACGAGACATGGAAGACTCCAAGTTCGATCTCTCGCCAGGTAGGATGCTTCTGTTATCCGGGGTATCAGGATTGATACGGGCTGACATAAATGGGAATCGAGAGGGCAAAGGAAATGATGCTGTGATACGTGAAGTTGCTTTAGATGGATATGAGGAGTTTTCACAGTTATGTGTGGTGGCAAATATAGTGCAAGTCAAGCCCGGGACGTCATTGCTGTTGAGTGCATCGACTATTGAGGACGGGGTAGTGCGGTTATGGAGGGAGTGGTTGCGGCGTCAAAGTGGAGAGATGAATAAGGCTCGGACTGATTTGGAAGACGGCTCTGAAAAGCCTCGGACGTCTTCCGATGACGATATACTATGGGTGGATTTGAGCAAGACCGTTGGTCTAAAAATGCGTGTGCGACCGAAGGCATGGGATCCTTCTTTCCCAGTCCTCGTACATCAGGATGATCGAAATGATGACTCTTGGGTTGGGTATGAGGTTACTTTGCAAGGTGAGTCGTTGATCCTACGGAGATGATCTCCTATTAACTTGATAGAACTTCACATCCGCTCCACGCGTTTGCTGCTAGCTATTGAGCAGTCAAAGGAAGAGCAGAAAATCCATCAAACCAACGCAATGATTATCGGGGCCACCCCAATCTCAGTATCTTGAGTGTGGATGGATATATCGTTCTATTGTAGTATATGATACAAGTCTATATGTCAAACATGTGAATATACTGGGAAATATAGACGTGTCAATAGTATATCATCTGTTACTATACTTGGTAGTTTGGCCCCCGATACTCACGAGATATCAGTAACTACCCTCCCTGCCGTTTCAAATGACGGTCGGGTGACCATTAACCCAGTCCCGAACAGGTTTAGAATGAGCAAAAGTTACTTATAATACGGCGTATAGTATGGTATTGGATATTGGATGCGCAATTTGCCAAGCCATCCAAGCCTTCGGGAAGCCGTATAAATGGCGTTCGGGCCGAGGTTCGAGCCAGTCAGGTTGCTTCAGGGCGCATATTAGACTCCACTGAAAATTTGTGCAAGGGGTATTCAATTGCCGAGATAGAACATATTTCACCCTGCAGACAGGGGAAGATCGAATTATTCGATTATTAATAATAATTAGGAGCCGAAAACGCCGAGGCTGCCCTCGGTTGTTATATTTGATATTGATTTTTCTTATATTATACTATTCAAGTTCTATTCTCGTCGATCTTACTGTTTTGGTTATATCCTCTAGATATTCCATCGCTCCACCTGACTGTATACCTGGTCTGAGAGCAACATGACAGTTCCAACTCAAGGGGGCGAGGCCATGCTGCCTTCCAAAATTCCTTTCTGGCGTCTGGTCTTCGACCAAAAGGTCGTCACCGAGGAAGTCATGCAATTCCCATACACAGGCTCAGGTACTAAAGACGATCCATATGCCGTGGTCTGGATCCCTGCCGACCCACGAAACCCAATGAACTTCCACCCGATCAGGAAGTGGTCTATTACATTTCTAGTTTCATTCGTGACTCTCGCGGTGTCATTAGTCTCATCTGCATTTTCAGGCGGAATGAGGCAGATCATGGAGGACTTCGGTGCCGCCCAGGAAATCGTCATTCTAGGCGTATCGCTGTTCGTGCTCGGATTCGCTATTGGGCCCTTGATCTGGGCACCCCTTAGTGAGATCTTTGGCCGGAGACATATCTTTACCATATCTTTTATGTTTCTCACTGCTTTCAATGCTGGCGCAGCGGGTGCGAAGAATATCGAGACACTCATTGTATTGCGTTTCCTCGCTGGCTCCTTTGGCTCTTCGCCGTTTGGGAATGGAGGCGGTACTATTGCGGACATGTTCCCAGCGTCTCAGCGTGGTATCGCTATTAGTCTTTTCGCTGCTGCGCCCTTCCTAGGACCAACTCTAGGTCCTGTCATTGGAGGCTTCCTCGCTTCTGCTGCCGGTTGGAGGTGGGTGGAGGGACTCCTTGCTGCGTTCTCTGGTGTGCTCTGGTTATGTATCATCTTCTTGCTACCAGAGACATATGCACCTGTCCTCCTACGCCGTCGCGCAGAAAAGATGTCTGCCTTAACTGGCAAAGTCTATCGTAGTCAGTTTGACATCGACCGTGGGCCCGCCCCTATGGGCAAGACGCTGAAGACTGCGCTTTCCCGCCCATGGATCTTGCTCTTCTGTGAACCAATTGTACTTCTTTTCTCTATCTATTTGGCGATTATCTACGGAACGCTCTATATGCTCTTCGCTGCCTACCCAATTGTCTTCCAAGAAGTCCGCGGCTGGAGCGAAGGCGTCGGTGGTCTCGCCTTCCTCGGCATCCTCGTCGGTATGGTGATCGCCGTGATATACACATTCCCCGAGAACTTCCGCTATGCCAAAAAGTGCAGCCAGACTACCGACCGACTCGCCCCCGAGTTAAGACTACCCCCAAGCATGGTCGGCGGCATAGCATTACCAATCGGGTTATTCTGGTTCGCCTGGACGAACTCGCCTAATATCCACTGGATGGCCTCAGTCGCAGCAGGAGCGCCCTTCGGTTTTGGCATGGTTCTGGTCTTCCTTAGCGTGTTCAACTACCTCATCGACTCATACACGATCTTCTCTGCCTCCGTGCTAGCCGCGAATTCCGCCCTCCGCTCACTATTCGGTATGGCCTTCCCACTTTTCACAACCTACATGTACCATAACTTGGGCATTCACTGGGCCTCGTCGATTCCAGCTTTTTTGGCGCTGGCATGTGTGCCCTTTCCATTCATCTTCTACAAGTACGGCGCGCGTATCAGACAGCGCTGTAAATACGCTTCTGAAGCGGACGCCTTCATGCGTCGCCTTGCTGAAAAGAACAAGGCAGCCCGCCGTGGTGAGCCTGATTCGGAGAAAGATAAAACAAACTCGGCGGTCCGGGTATCTGATGATCAGGATTCCAGTGATACTGATTCCTTGTCTACTGTTCCGTCTCGTGGTATGATCGCACGTCATGCGTCCCGTGCGTCTCGGCAATCCGGTCGCTCTATGCATCGCGTTGCTACTGCGACGCAATATGAGGAGAACCCTTATGACTTGGATCTGGTCAACACTCGACAGTCGGCTATCAGTCGCAAGGATTGAGCAGAGGCGTGGGGTTGGAGTTGTAACTACCCTTTATGCTCTCGCCGCCCGTGCGATCTTGGTCCAGCACCGTATCCATGTCCCCGGACCATCCCAGGATGAAAAACAGAAATTGTTTTGGTCTGGTCAACCCACAGGACCAGGAAGACCCCAGGCCAGTGCCTGACGCTGGGTCCTGTCGCATGAAGCACGGCCTAGGGATCTCCAGTATCCTTGCAGGTGAACCCCAGGTAAAACCAGACTTGATTATACGTCCAGGTACCCTTGGTTCCAACTCAATTGGAGTCGCTACCTACTAGCGATCATATTCTCACATGTGTTGGACTGGTGCATGCTACAAAACCATTAGGTGTCCTATATACTCTAATTTTAATGCATTCATCAAAGCAAGTCTGTTTTGATTTCTTTTGTCAAGTAAAATGTAATATAAAACTCGAGTTGACAATTTCAGTAGAATACCATTGGTTGGAATAAAATGATCACTCATCATGGGCCTCGGTCCATCCCGCCTCGGCCCCAACCTCTGTCTGTATAATCGACTCTTGTCCGGTTTAACACCCTGATAACATAGCAATTAACTAGGCTCTCACCATTGACCCATAATTACTCGTCATGTCTGGCAAAATTGACGCATACGTTGACTGCGGTATGCAATCCTTGAGCTCCACCCCCTGGACTGCCCCTTGGATTTCATTCGCTAAGTGCCGTTTCGACAGTATCGCCATACTCATACTATGCGACCCTCTATCTACGAAAGAACCGCAAAGCTCTAGAGTCGCATGGAGTCGAGGTTGAGTATGCACATACCTAGTCGCTACGTGGGATATGTGCTAACCGAATAGATTCCACCCGGTCTTCTTAGGCGGGATTAATGTCGGCTCAGGTATTTCAATATCAGACTATGTTATAATTAGTTCCAGAATCACTCACATCTCAAACAGGGAATAAACCCCCCTGGTCACTCCCCGCCAAAGCGGCATACTCCAAATTCGACTCGGAGCGAGCATGTAAATACTTCGGAGTCCCGCAGATCCAAACACCGGAGTTTTTCCCAATTCTCTCAATCATGGTGAGTATCCACTTGTATCTTTGAAATACTCTCCGTCACTAATCAACCAGCCTCAACGATGCATGATCTATATCAAAAGCCACTTCCCACGCGAGAAGTACGAGACAACCTTCCTCTTGCTGTGGGAGTGGATGTACTACAAAGGCATCGACATCAGCAAACCAGAGAAATTAGCCGAGCTATTCCAGAGCAACGGGTTCTCCGACTCGGAAGTCAAGGAGATTATTGCCGCGGCGTCAAGCCCGGAGATCAAGCAGGCTTTGACAGCTAATACGCAGACTGCTCTTGATAAAGGGGCTTATGGTGCGCCGTGGTTTTGGGTGCGGAATGCTGAGGGCAAGGAGGAGCCGTTTTTCGGTAGTGATCGGTACGTTTTGTAATGGTTTATGCGATTGAATGGATACTAATTTCATAGGTTTGCGTTTATGTGGATGTATCTCGGATTGCCATTTCAAGATGTTGCGATTGTTGAGAAGGAGAAGTCGAGGCTTTAGAGTAGGTATGTTATAGTCTTGGGCTCGTGTTTTGTAAATATCGGATCATAGCAAGTTCGAATTGGATTCAGTATCGTCAAACTGCGGTCGTGCTTTATATCTGGCTCCGGATACCTGACATTACTATTTTAGTCATTGGTGATGCCGTAGTTTGCCGGTTTTCGCTACCTGTCCGAATTTCTCCTCACCCGAGGGGTGGAAGGGAGATAGGAATTCGGAACACGATGATGAGTATATGGTTATTTTGTCCGTTAAATGGGTTTCTGGTCTGGTCCTATGAGAATTGACACCAAAAGAAGTCGAGATGAAACTAGAATGTGTAGAAATATCAAATGTATACTTCTTCCGCATCCGGCTAAGATATGAACCATTTACCCCACACCTATAAATCCACCCGATTGTCCCGATACTCCCTCGAACATCCTACATCCTTACAGTCTTACAGACTATATATTCACATAACATACAAACTTCTACCTCTACTAGCAATCATGACCGGACCTAGAGTTGCATGGATAGGCCTCGGCAACATCGGCCGTGTAAGTCAACCTCCCCATCCTCCCCGCATTCCACCCCCAAACACCCCCCATCTAACCCGCAAACCCAGGGCATGAGCCAAAACATCTCCCAAAAAGGCCCTCAAACCGCTCCCCTCCTCCTCTGGAACCGCACAACGGCACGAGCAACATCCCACGCCTCAACCCTCCCCAACACCAAAGCCGTCACAACCCTCCAAGAAGCCATAACCCAATCAGACATAATCTTCACCTGCGTCGGCGACGACGCCGCCCTAACCTCCATCGTCAATACAATCCTCTCAGACCCCACAATCCCCCAAGACATATCATCCAAGACCTTCGTCGACTGTTCAACCGTACACCCTGATACATCGCGCCGCACCGAAACCGCCTTCAACGCACGTGGAGCCGGGTTCGTGGCATGTCCCGTGTTCGGGGCACCGAATATGGCCGATGCGGGCCAACTGATTGTCGTTCCTGCCGGGAAGCGGGACGCAATTGAAAAGGTGCGGCCGTTTTTCGATGGGGTTGTTGCTAGGAAGACGATTGATCTTTCTGCGGGGAGTGGGGGGGATATTGATGTTGGACGGGCGTCTACCCTGAAAGTATTGGGTAATACATTTATTCTTAATACTGTTGGTGTTCTTGCTGAGGCGCTTGTTGCTGCTGAGGCGTCTGGGCTTGGGGTTGAGCCGTTGCAGGAATGGTTGGGGCTTTTTGCGCCGGGGCCGTTTGCTAATTATGCGGAGAGGATGGTTGGTGGGGATTATTGTAGGCGGGAGGAGCCGCTTTTTGCGGTTGATCTTGCTAGGAAGGATCTCGGTCATGCTTATGGGATTGCGAAGGAGGGGGGACTGCGGATGAAGAATGTTGAGGTTATGGATGGGCTTCTGGAGGTGGTTAAGGAGGAGAAGGGGGTTAAAGGAGATGTTGCTGCTGTTTATGGAGCTGTTAGAAAGGGAGCTGGGATGGAATTTGGGAATCAATGATGGGTTATTATAGATTATAGTTATAGTGAGAGAACAAAATCAATTGATAAAAAAATAAGATTGCTATAGCAAGCCTTGCTTGTAATGCTATTAAATCATGGTCTCCCTAAGGATATGGTGGAGACTCAGCTAATCAAGGAGTAGAGTTAATTATGAACACAGAATTTTGAAATAAAAGCAGCCACAAAGTGATGCGCAACACGCGCCATCCTTTCAGTCATGAGCACATTACTCGTCGCGGATCTCCTGGGACTCGTCGTGGTGCTTGTGTTCGCTGGTACCTGCCTCGCCCTCCTTGGGGCCCGCGGTAGAAGGTCTGTGCAGGTCGGCAACGATGCCCTCGGGGGGCACCCAACCAGCGGACTTCCACGGCTTGACGTGGAGGACGTACATGGTATCGACCTCCTCGAGGGTCCGGCCCTGGGTCTCATTGACGAAGAAGAAGACAACGAGAACGGCGAGGAAGCAGCAGGCAGCGAAGACGTAGCCGTAGCGGAAGTCGATGGCGTTAGAAATGAAGGGGGTGAAGAAGGAAATCAGGAAGTTCCAGGTCCAGTTGGCAGCGGTTGCAACACCCATGCAGACAGCGCGGTACTTGAAGGGGTACATCTCACCACAGATAGCCCAGACGATAGGACCCCAGGTGGTGGCGAAGCCGACAATGAAGAAGCAGGTGAAGACAATCATGACAACACCGGCAGAGTGATTGGAGGGGTCATCGTTCAGGATGACATGGCCAACGGTGGCCCAGATCATGAAGCAGACGAACATCCAACCGGCACCGTACATCAGACACTTGCGACGACCGTAGTGCTCGACGATGTACAGACCGGGGAGGGTCATACCGAAGTTGACAGCGCCGAGGATGATGGAGGTAACGTAAGAGTTGTCAAGACCGATACCCTGGAAGATACTGGTTCCGTAGTAGAAGATAAAGTTGGCACCGCTCAATTGCTGCAAAGACTGCAGGGCAATGCCGAGCAAGATACGGTGCAACATGCGAGGACCGGTGACAACATCTTGCCAGGCAGCCTCGCCGTGGGCGAGCTCCTCCTCAAGCTTCTGCTTCATATCGGCCATCTCCTGGGCAACGACACGGTGGTTGTGGGGGACACCGTAGAGCTTGCACATGACATTGCGGGCCTCTTCGATACGACCGTGGCGGTAGGCGAAACGAGGCGACTCAGGCAGGAAGAGGGTACCGACACCCAGAATCAGGGGCCAGGCGAAGCCAATGCCCATAGTGATGCGCCATGAGGCATCGTTGTGTAGACTCTCAGTACCGAAGTTGACAATGTAGGAGATGAAGATACCGAAGGCGACGAACAGCTGGAAAGCACTGACCATGGCACCGCGGACCTGGCGAGGTGCAGACTCGGACTGGTACATGGGGACGACGCTGGAAAGGGCACCGACACCCAGACCAGCAACCCAACGGCCGAGGGCAACTTGGTACCACTTGTCGGTGGTGGCAATCTGCACAATGATACCAACAATGTGGAGGAGGGCCCAGAAGGAGATTGAGAACTTGCGGCCAATGCGGTCCGCAATGGGGGCAGCCACCAGGGCACCAATCATAGTTCCGATAGACAGCTAATAGAGTTTAGTATAGGTATGACTTGCATGTGGGAATCGCACGTACCAGGCCAACAATCAGACCGTTGCGAACGTTACTGAAAACATATTCTCCGGTGGCGGCGTTATACTCAGCGAAACGCTGTTTGAAGTCGACCATAGTAGTGAAACCCGAGATTTGACCTAAGGTCGGTTAGTAACGTTGCATCCATAAGGCTGTGTCACACTTACCAGTAGAATATCCGAAAATGAAACCACCCATGGAGACACACAGACCCAGGATGAACGACCGCCATGTCAGGTACTTGACGGGACTATCATCGAGAGTGAGGTTATCCTTCTCAGCGGTAGTCGA